TCTACTCTGCTCTGCTGATGCCATTTTGGTCTCAGCCCTTCTGCTTGCAGATGTAACAATCTATAATAATAAAAGCAATAATAAAAAATATAATAATAATATCCTAAGTAGACCGGACGTCCTTCCAGATGACCTTCTGGACGAGGCCAGGTCTGTGAGGGAAGCCTATGTTCTGGGTGCCTGCCAGCGGCTGGAGGACAGCCAGGGGGAGGAAGGCCTGCTCTGGCACGAATTTCGTGCATAAGGCCTCTAGTACCGGTAAACATAATTCTTTATGCCTTCTTCGGCGACCCTAACAGTAATTAAGGCAGGGGTATTGGCAGAAGGAGACCAACCAGACAGAATAAGACATAAGAGCACAAGCTCACACACAATCAATTGATTCCCGATGAAAAGGGTATCATAGAGCAGTAATATAAGAATGATTTTTTTCAAAAAGTGGTGTTGAATAGAGCATGGAATCAATAATATAACTATGTAAGGGATCAGATGGCTATGAGACTCACTGTGATAACTTTGTTAAGTACATAAATGTTGGATCACTATGTTGTACACCTAAAGCTAATACAATATTGTATATCAACTGTAATTAAAAATAAATAAACAGCAATGAACCTTTGAATAGGTCCAATGCAATGGAATACTTTACGGCAATAAACATGAGCAAACTTCCACAAACACCATAGATGACTCTGATTGACATAAATTTGAGCAAAAGCATATAAAGTTTCAAAACCACAGAAAAATAAACCTATGGGATTAGAAATCAGCAAAGTAGCTTTGGGGAAGAGGGAGGGGTTGATGGTTGTGAGGAGGCAGGAAGTAGATTTCTGGGATTCTAATAATAATCTTCATCTTGACCTGAGTAGTGGTTCCATGGTACTCACTTTGAAATAATTTATTAACTGTACCCCTTATTATTATAAGGTTCTTCCTCCTCCCACCTGGTGGGCAGAGTTATGACATTACTGGCATATGTCACAGACATCTCCAAGACATTGAGCCATCAATCAGCGCCTGCCAAAGTGTCCTGGAGTCCACCCCTTCCTGTTCTGCCCTGGGTCCAACCCTCTCCTGTTCTTCCCCTTAAAAAGACCCCCAGATCAGCCACGTGCTGCTGATCCTCCATGTCCAGGTGGCAGCCCAGCTGGGTCCATCCCCCCTCCCAACTCCTTCAATTCTGATTTCTCTACGGAGGTAATGAGTCCCGCTCATCACTGGGGAATAAACTTTAAAACTCCTTGGTGGTCAGTTTCCTGCGCCTCAAACCTTACAATTATCTCATACGAATGTTTTTAAGGATTAGTTTTCACTTTATACCGCTGTGAAACCCCCCAAACTTAGTTGTCACCATTTATTAGCTCACAGTGCCCGGAGCTCAGGAGTCCAGCCTGGCTGTGCCATCTGCAGGGCGGGGCTCTCCTCTCGGCACCCGGGACCCTTGGACCTCAGAAGCGTTCTCACCAGAGCACTTTCCTTCATTTCTGACTCGGGCCCTCCCCTCCCCGCCCTCCACTTGCATTCAATTCACTTCACGCCGGGGAAGAGCTGGGAAGAATGCCTGGATGTAAACACAGGCGAGATCACTTAGGAGGCACTTTCAGGGAGATTCTCCAGGTCTTGTGGGACCAAAGGGAACCCCCTCCCCCCCACCCCACCACTGCCCGCCTCCCCAAGTCTCACTCATGGGAGTCTGTCTGCCCATCCATCTGTCTGCAGGGGCCTTTGGCCTCAGAATCAGGAAGTGACTGCCCTCTCCCAATTAGCAGCTCTTTGATAACATTTAAATGGCACTTGGCCTAGATTACTGGGCTTGTCTTATCTGGGAGGCGGAAGGAGGGAGAACTCTGTCTCCCCAGAGGAGCTGGGAGTAAATATTTGTTGAATTTGGTTGGAAGGAGAAAAATTTTAGTGAGGAAGAATTCTAAACCAGAGCCACGTCTAAAACGCTAAATCAGACCTTTCCTGCCCTCGCCTTGATGAACCACTTGGCTCCTTCCTCCTTCCTCGATGAGCCCCTGAACAAGGGCCCTGAGGTGGCGTTGCTTCGGCTTCTTGGAGTTGCTTCTCTTTCCTCTCTGTTGGAATTCCTGGCTCAGGGCAGGAAGGGCTTCCCACACCTAATGGCCTGGCTGGGTCTCCAAAAACAAGCCAGTTCAAGTTCCTCTAAAAGCTTCCTGCCAAGTCGTAGACAAAGAAAGGCCGTTGACCCTTGGACAACACAGGGGTGAGGGGCACTGACCCCAAGACACGGGAACAAGGGGAGAAAGGGAGGAAAATTAGCTTGGACAGGTTCGCCTTTTCACCAAGTGACTCCAGGGCTAGAGATGTGCCAGCCTGTGTCCTCTCAGCACTCACCAGGATGCATGGCTGCTGCGAAATGCAGAAGCACACCAGCTGTCCCTTCACCGATGAGATCATTGATGATGTATCTGTAGAGGGATTCCTACCACACGCTCTCCCACTCAAACGTATGCAGTCTTCTCCCAAGCCCTTTCTTCCTCCCACCCAGGTCAAAGAACAATGCAGCTTTCAAGGGACCGGATTTTCAAGGTACTTGTCTCCCCCGCTGAGATTGCAAATTTTCGAGAGCAAAAATGCGTTCTTCTGAGCCCCAGCACCCAGATGGGTGGCAAATGCAGACCAGGTTTCCAGTTGCTGGTTAAATTCATTGGTGAGAACAGAAAGCCATTAACTTGTTAATGAATGGGCGAGGTTTCATCCGAGCTGTTGGGTGCTGAGGGGGTGGGGTCAGAGGCCCTGCCGTCCTGTGCTGGAGGGACTCCCCGGCCCAGCCGGTCTGAATGTTCGGGAACAATGACAGGTAAGACACGATGCGTCCCAGGAGTTTAGGATAAAAGTAGCCTCGTACCTGAACACCTCACCACTGTGCTACGGTGGCTGTCCTTGTGGCTAACTCTTTAGTTAGGGTTTAACTCTCTGTGTCCTCGACCAAGCTAACGTCTATCCCATTTCCAAATCTGTTTTCTTCCTCGACTCTTAGACGTGGGAAGTCTGTCTTTTGACTGTGATGTTGTTGATTTGGCTGTTCTTAGTTGGGTGGGTGGTTTTAAGCCAAATGCTTACTTGTGCGATTTCACATAAACTCTGTCTCCTGGCCAGTGTTTAATGCACTCCTCTGAGGGTGACGCAAAAGCTCCCGAGGCCAAGAGCATCTGCTGGGAGGAGGCCGGCTGCCTGGGACTGGGGACACCACCCCCCAATTCCACAGGGTCTCCTGACCCCATGCCAGGTGCTCTGTGGTCTCGAGCACACAGAACTCACTGGCTGGAGGCTGGATGTCTATGACCGAGCAGGTGTCCAGCAGCCACTCTGAAGTCATCAGCCAATTCCCCTCTCAGATGCTCAGTTCCTTTCTCCCTCCCTGCACTGCGAGTCCCCAGGGCCCAGCTAGACAGGGACAGAGTGAACGCATTAAATACCCGGTCAGTGAACGGCCTGGGGTCCCCAGCCCACAGCAAACACCTGGCCCCTCACACACCAGAGCCCTCCTGCCAGACACTGACCAGACCCTGTCTGCCAGGGACCACTGCCTTCCGCCCTCGCACCTGAGGCCTCGGCGAGGGGCCTGCTGGGGCAGAGAGGCTGGGGCTGCATCCCCCAGCCAGACTCGGGGTCACCTCTCCCCTGAGATGGGGCGGCCTTTGCCAGGTACCAGTTCAGGTTCTGGAAGCCCCCTCCAGCCCCGTTGGAATCCGTCCTGGAAGCATCAGCCTCCTGGGTGGCTGGACCCCCTCTGGGCCCACCTGACTCTGAACTTGTGGCTCCTTTGCCAGCTTCCGGCCCCCCATCCCCCACCCACCCCCAACTAACTCCCACTGCGCCCCGGTACGCCCGCAGCAGGGCGCTGGGCTCCACGCCTTTCCTGGAAACAGACAACGGTGAATTCCAGGATTAGAACTTGGCAATGAAAGACCAAACTCCTTGAGCCCCCATACCCGGTGTTTAGGATTTCCTGATCAAAGCAGTGACTTTCCACGGCTCTTCAACCTGGATCGCCCGCTGGCTGGTGTGATTGGTTTGCCTTTCCCCCCCAGAAAAGTGAACCTGGTGTTTCAACCCGCAGCTCGTAGACATTGGGCTGGGGGTCCCCGTTTTACAAGATCCGCCTTTTCCACTCGGTTTGTTCAGGTGTCTGTTCTGCCCATCGCCTCCGTGGGGAGCTTTAGCGGGGTAACTGTGGGGTCTCCCCTCCCCACCAGCCCAGACTGAGCCACCACCTCCAACCTGGTTCCCCCAGGTGTCCTGGCGCGGCTGCTAGGACCTGGGGAGCTCCTGTTTCTCACCCGGGATATTGTTATTTTTAAGTTCCCATTTCCATGTCAGTAAACTGATGTGTTCCTTTGGCAAGGACTGAACTGAAGCCGAGCTAACGTCCCCCCGAGCTGCTTGGAGCTGTGGGCGCGTGAAGATGGAGAGACTCCCCTCCAGGTACGAGCCCCTGTGCTGTGACTGTGACCAGAGCTCACAGCTTAGGACGTGGTGCCGAGCCCTCGCCCGACTCCGTTTGCTCAAACCTTCAGAGCTGCCAGAGCACTGCCTCCCGAGTCCCTGCCTCCAAGACTTCCCACCGGGACCGGGCGCTGCTGCGACTCGTGTGTGAGAAACGGTCAAAGTTGCAACCAAATTAAAAATCTGCTCCCAAGAAGATGAAAGACATAGATTCAATATTTGCAAAAGCACAGGAAGCAAAAGAGAATAACGGGAAATGTTTTTAACCTGAAAACGTTTCAAATGATTGGTTTAAGTGAAATAGTCAGCAAAACGTGGTTTTGTCAGTGACAAAGGAAAGGTCGTATGTAAAAATCATGTGAAGGAGGAAAGCCTGTGAAGTGGGTGGTCAGAGATTCACCCCGTTCACTGAAGGGCCTGTCGGGCAGCGCCCGGGAAGTTGGAGCGCCTGTGGGACAGAGATGGCTGTTGGCCGTTCTCCTCAGGCTTCTTTCGGCTGTTAGTGACTCCGTGTTTCACAGGGAAGGGCGGGTGGGAGGAGGTGCCGGTCCAGAGGCCCCTCCTGGTCTGGGTCTGTCCTTGGGGAGCCCAGTGTGAACACAGAGTCTTCCTTCGCTTTGTGTTGCTGACGCTGACGCCCCTTCCCAGGCTGATGCTGATCCTGGCCCTTTCCAGAGTGTTGGAGCTGCAGTTGGTTGCTGGTAAGAGACCTTGGTTCCTTGGGTCACCAGCAGTCGGACGCGCCCTGGCACGGGCCCCACGACTTGGTTTTGTCCTTAGGGCTGGGCCACCATGGACGTCCCTCGCCGGGAGGCCTGGCGGTCCGAGCGGGCAGCCTCCGGCCCCAGGAGGAGCCGGCGATTCGTCACTGGCCTCTCCAGGGGGTGCCACCCATGAGAACCCAGGACAGTAAGAGTGCAGGCCTCAGTCTCCGCCTGGGGAGGTCACACCGGTCCTTCTCCCGTCTCCTGTCCTTGAGCTCTCCATCTGCGTCTGGAGCGGGCGGCTGCGGGGACAGTTTCACTGTGGAGGGAAGACGGGCATTGTGTGTGCACTTGGCGTCCCTGGAGTTTCCTCCGCCTGATTCCATTTCACGCTGTGGACCTGGAAACCACTCGGGAACCACCACGGCCTCTGCATGAACAAGAGTTCTCTGCTGCCCAGCCGGGGGCTCAGGGGTTGAGCATTGACCAGTGAACTGACGACCTATGAGCATTTGATTCCCGGTCGTCAGTTCACTGGTCACAGGCCCAGGTTGTGGGCTCCATCCCCATTGTGGGGTGTGCAGGAGTGGCGATCAATGATTTTCTCTCATCATTAATGTTTTTCTCTCTCTCTCTCTCTCCCTTCCTCTCTTAAAACAATATATATATGAGTTATCTTCTCAAAGGCATGGGTAACAAAGGGAACAAGAAAAACCAGTCTTATTCTTGAGGCTTGTAATGTTTCAACATGTGCCCACACTTTCTGTCGGGGACCAAGGAGTGGGGCTGCACTGACCTTTGCTCATAGGAGCTGGGCTCTCCCATCCCTCCACCCGCTCAGCCATCTCTCCTCTTTCAGGTAAGGAGCTCAACAGGACCTGCTGCCTGAACGGAGGAACCTGCATGCTGGGGTCCTTCTGTGCCTGCCCTCCCTCCTTCTATGGACGGAACTGTGAGCACAACAAGCACAGAGAGTAAGCCGTGGAACGAGGGGGTGGGGGGCGGGGAGGATTTAAAGGTGAGTGTGTCGCCTGTCCGCTCCTCCAGGAACTGCGGGTCCGTGCCCCACGACACCTGGCTGCCCCGGAAGTGCTCCCTGTGCAAGTGCTGGCACGGCCAGCTGCGCTGCTTCCCCCAGACGTTCCTGCCGGGCTGTGGTGAGTGGCGTTGCCCTTTGGGTGGTCGTGCTGTGGGCACTGAGCCAGAGGGGTCTCTCGTCGGACCTCGAGGCTCGCTGGACTGGCAGCCGAGTTCTGCCGGTGAAAGTATGGAGGACTGCAGATGGGAGAGTGACTCAGGGTCCTTGGCTTCTCGCCCTCAGTGTCGCTGGCTGTGCTGCCTTTCGGGTGGAGAGACATTCCCAGTCTCTGACACTTTCTGGCACGTGACCGTCTAGTGAGGAAAATAAACAGGACGGTTTGGCCTCTTCAAACACCGAGTGACTTTCTGGGTTCCTTGCCTCCTTCAGGCGGAGGGACCCAGACTGTCTCCAGGGGTACAGCTCCATCAGGAGCCACCGCGCAGCAGGGCAGGGCTCCCAGCTCCAACTCTGCCCTTAAGTTGTACCAGGGGCTCAGTCCCACTCTTGTCCCTTAGGAACTTATGGGTCCTAAGAGGTCCCTGCACGGACCCCTGGGCATTGGTCTGAGGACCCTTGCACCTTGTTGATTCACATTGACTTGAGGACAACAAGGACACGAAGATGGACATGAGGAGAGGGGTCTCCCCACCGACCTGCCCTGGTTTCCAGGCCCACCCAGGTCCAGGCCTCTCGTAGTTCTGCCCCTGCAGGTGTTAGAAAGTGAAAACATTCAGTCCACAAAGTAGGTAAAAGTAGTTACTTTGTGTGAGGACAAGATGGGACCCCATCACCACCCCCGATCCCGGCGGGGACTGTCTTTCCCTTTTGCACCCCTTCATGCTGGGCCCAGGACAGACATTTGTCATGAGAGGTGAATGGTTGGATGGGTGAGGACCGTATGTTCTTCCTGCAGCGTGGAACCCAAAACATGCTGTGTCCTTGCTATCAGGGGCTCGCCACGTTCTGCTGACCCTGCCACCGAGGGGAGATGTCACCGGCTTGGGGGGCGGGTGAGAGCACAGGTCCAGCGAAGGGCAGGTTCACCGTCTGCCTGTGGCAGCGTCTGTGGAAAGATCTGGCCGGAGTCTGGATTCCTGGGGTCAGTACTGTTGATCCCATGAGCACCCTGTACGCAAACATTGAGCCCAGCTGGCTTGAGGCTCATGTTGATCTGCCACGTGTGTGGGCAGCAGGACTGACGGCCGGAGGGATTTCCTTTCGTGACCAAACGTCCCCCCTTGCAGATGGCCACGTGATGGATGAGCGCCTGGCGGCTGCCAGCGCCCCAGGACCGACGCTGTCCGCAGGCACCGCGCTCCTGCTGGGTGGCACCTGCCTCGCTTTGAGAAGTTCACATTAGCCGACCTTCAGTGCAGCATTTGTCACGGACTTCACGCCCCGTCAAGGCTGGCCTCCCCTTCCCAGAGCCGATTGCTTGCTAGCTGCCTTGAAGTGGGGACTGGGTTCCATCACGGTCCCTGACAGTCCTTATGGGACAGGAATGCTTCGATATTGCGTGTGGTGCCAGGCCATGGCAGTGAAGCGAACGTCGGAATAAAGCGAGTCACACCGATGTCTTGGTCCTCAGTGCACACAGTTATGTTTACACTGTATTGTGGTGTATGGCATGTGCAATGGTGTTATGTCTAAAACAACGTACAGACCTTAATTTAAAATATTTTGTTTCTGAAAACTGTTTGCCATCATTCGAACCTTCTGTGAGTTGTCATCCTAGCAGGTAAGAGGTATTACTTTCAATTTGTAAAAAAAACAAACACACACCCACAATGTCTGTGAAGCACAATAAAAGAGATTTGCCTGAACCAACTACTTACGAGGTGTACCGGTTAATAATTCGGATTTTTTTCAATAGATGGAGTTATACATATGTTGATATATTAATATATGCGATTTTAACATGTATGCTATTTTGTTGTATTGCTCCTTCAGATTACCACTTGTTTTGATCAACTGCCTCCTGCACACCCTTACTGGGGATTAAGCCCACAATCTTGGTCTTCATACTTCAAGACATAGGAAGAAGTAGAAGAATGGGTTTCTGAATGGGACAGTATCCACAAATTACCTGAAAGGTGGGGAAAATGTGTAACTAGCAATGGACACTACTTTGAATAAAGCACTTTTGATGTTTCTCTTGAAATTATGTTTTCTCTGACTCCAACATCTGCATTGTTACAGTTAATAATGTGGATTAATTATTAACTGGTTAATAATTTGGATTAATTATTGACTGGTTAATAGTGTGGATTAGCCGAAACCGGTTTGACTCAGTGAGTGAACAGAACGTCGGCCTTCGGACTGAAAGGTCCCAGCTTCGATTCCAGTCAAGGGCATATACCTTGGTTGCAGGCACATCCCCAGTAGGGGGTGTGCAAGAGGCAGCTGATCGATGATTCTCGCTCATCGATGTTTCTAGCTCTCTATCCCTCTCTCTTCCTCTCTGTAAAAAATCAATAAAATATATATATTTTAAATAATGTGGATTGATTATTAACTAGTTAACAATGCAGGTTAACTATTAACCAGTTAATAATAAAGACTTTATAATCCAAAGAAAACACTATAATTTCATGAGAAAAATCAAAAGTGCTTTATTTAGGCCCTGGCTGGTGTGGATCAGTGGATAAAGCATTAGCCTATGTACTGAAGGATCCTGGGTTCAATTCCAGCCAAAGCCACATGCCCAAGTTGTGGGCTTGATCCTCAGTAAGGGTGTTAAAGTGCTTTATTCAAAGTAATGTCCATCATTAGCTACACATTTCTCCCACCTTTCAAATAATCTGTGGGTACCGTCCCAATAGAACTTTTCTTATTTTGAGGCAAATGATTCAGATACCCAAATTTCCACTTCTTCATACGTTTTGAAGTGCTGCTTAGAAAGTGCATGTGCCATCAATGGGAACACGTGGTTATCTGAAAAAGTAAGGTCTGGTGAATACAGCGAGTGGGTTCATACTTCCCAGGCAAGATCTTTTAACGTGTCTCTAACTGGTTTTGAAGTGTGTGATGGTGCGTCATCATGAAGCAAAATTACTTTGCCAGGTCTTCTGGCACATTCTGGTTATTTCACGATCAAGGTGTGGTTCAAATTGATTATTTGTTGTCGGTAGCGATCAGTAGTAATGGTTTCACCTTGTTTTAGAAGCTCATAATATACCACATCTTCCTGATCCCACCAAACGCAAAGCATTGTCTTCTTTCTGAAGCGATTTGGCCTTGCAGCCAATGTTGATGGTTGACCTGGATCAACCCATAATTTTGTGCGTTTAGGATTCTCAAAATAAATTCACTTTTCATCGTCAGTCACAACTCTATGCAAAAAGAATTTTCTTTCATGCCATTGAATCAACATTTTACTGATGACTTTTCAGGTTTTCCATTTGTCTTTCGTTCAGTTGATAAGGCACCCATTTTCCTTCCTTTAAAATCTTTACCATTGCTTGTAAACGATCAGAAATTGTTTGCTGAGCAAGGTTTAATTTTTCTGAAAATTGTTTTTTAGTTTGACACGCATCTTCATCCAATAGTACTTGTAATTGTTGGTCTTCAAACTTTTTGGGTTGACCTGGACATTCTTTGTCTTTCATGGCAAAATCATCACTTTTAAACCATTTAAACCATAGTTCACAAGTATCTTGAGATGGAGCATGTTCACCATAAGCTTCCTGAAGTATACAATAACTTTCATGAGCAGTTTTCTTCAAAATATTAGTACTTCTCCCTCTTCAGATTATTAAAAGCCAATCTAATGTGGAACTGAAGGTAAAGCTTTGAGTGGAGAGAGCTGGTCACAATCGGTTAAGCCAGTGTCTAGAAACAAAATGGAAGCATCTGGAAGGGGAGCAATGAGAGGGGACAGACAGATGCTGGAGGAATGAAGGGTCCATGTGGCCAGGGAGACCAGTTAGAGAGGAGGCAAACAGGAGAGGGCAGAAACGATACTGACATTACTGGGTAACCACCCCCACCCTCCACACCATCATCACCATCTCTAGAACTTTTTCATCCTCTCAAACTGAAACTACCCATAAACCCCTACCCTGTCCTACTCTCCCCTCCTCCAGCCCCTAGCAACCCACACTCTATGTCCTGCGTCCATGAACCTGAATATCCAGGAACCTCATGGAGGTGGAGTCACAGAGCACATGTCCTTTGTGACCGGCACTCCCCCTCCCACTGTCCCCACCCTCACCCTACCAGCATGGGGGGTAGGGCTGAACCCCCCACGGGTCTCAGATCCTGTAACACTCCATTAGTGATGTGTTTCCACATCTGCCTCCCCCACTGGAATGTGAGGACCTCAGCACCCGATGCCCATCACTGAGGACCCTGGAGCTGCTCTCTGGGTGCGGGGATGTGGGGGGGTGAATGCAAGAAGGGAGAGAGGAGAGGGGGAGGGAGAGAGGAGAGGGGGAGGGAGAGAGGAGGGGGGAAAGGAGAGGGGAGGAGGGGGGAGGTAGAGAGGAGGGGGAAAGTGAGAGAGGAGGGGGGGAGGGAGAGAGGAGGGGGAGGGAGAGAGGAGGGGGGAGGGAGAGAGGAGGGGGGAAAGGAGAGAGGAGGGGGGGAAGGAGAGAGGAGGGGGGAAGGGAGAGAGGAGGGGGGAGGGAGAGAGGAGGGGGGAAGTGAGAGAGAAAGGGGAAAGTGAGAGAGAAGGGGGAAGGGAGAGAGGAGGGGGGAAAGGAGAGAGGAGGGGGGGAGGGAGAGGAGAGGGGAAAGGAGAGAGGAGGGGGGAAAGGAGAGAGGAGGGGGGGAGGGAGATCGAGGAGGAGAGGGGAAAGGAGAGAGGAGGGGGAAAGGAGAGAGGAGGGGGGGAGGAGAGAGAGGGAGGGGGGAGGTTAGAGAGGAGGGGGAAAGTGAGAGAGGAGGGGGGGAGGAGAGAGAGAGGAGAGGGGGAGGGAGAGAGGAGGGGGGAAAGGAGAGAGGAGGGGGGAGGGAGAGAGGAGGGGAGGAGGAGGAGAGAGAGAGGGGGGGAAAGGAGAGAGGAGGGGAGGAGGGAGAGGGAGGGGAGGAGGGAGAGAGAGAGGAGGGGAGGAGGGAGAGAGGAGGGGGGAAGGGAGAGAGGAGGGGGGAAGGGAGAGAGGAGGGGGGGAGGGAGAGAGGAGGGGGGGAGGAGAGAGGAGGGGGGAAGTGAGAGAGAAAGGGGAAAGTGAGAGAGAAGGGGGGAAAGGAGAGAGGAGGGGAGGAGGGAGAGAGGAGGGGGGAAAGGAGACTAAGTCGGGGAAGACTGCAGGCTGGGAGGTTCCTTATCGTCCTCATTAGCAGCTCTGTGTTACAAGACAATTAGCACTTGGGACCCTGTCCACATCCCCACCGGGAAGAGGATGAAAGGAAGAACTGCCCTTTACCAAAGGGCCCCACAGTGTCTGGCGCCTCCAGGAGTCAGAGCTCCCCTGCAGACCTGGCCAGCGCCATCTGCTGATGTAAACAACACGGCAATGAAAGCGGAAGGGGCCCCCTGCTTTCTCCTCCTAAGCCAGTGGTGGGCAAACCGCAGCTCGCGAGCCACATGCAACTCTTTGGCCCCTTGAGCATGGCTCTTCCACAAAATACCACGTGCGGGCGTGCACATACAGTGCGACTGGAACTTCGTGGTCCATACGTAGAAGTCGGATTTTGGCTCTCAAAAGAATTTTCAATCGCTGTCCTGTTGATATTTGGCTCTGGTGACTAATGAGTTTGCCCACCACTATCCTAACCAACACAGCCCTTCTGAGCTGCACACTGTTCCTGACGCTGAATGTCTGTGAATTAACCCTCCCAGGTGGGCCCCGTCCACAGGCCCCCTCCCCAGGTCTGTGTCCCCTGGCAGCGTCAGCACATCTGTCCCCACTGATGAAGGCCCCCTCCACCCTGAGCTGGGCCGGGGAGCGGGGAGCAGAGCAGAGTGACCGGGTGGTGCCCCAGCTGCTGCTTTCACCCACAGGGGCTCTCGGAGCCTGGCCCCCGGGGGCTGGGCTGCGGGAGGAGGGGGGGGGGTCTGCGGGAGGAGAGAGGGCGGAGTGCAGTGTTGCCGCAGATCCTGGGTCAGTTGCCTGTCACATCTCGACTTCCCTGCGCAGAGCAGTGGTCTCTGAGACAAGTGCCAGGAATAACATTTGTGCCATCCCAAGTAGAGAGCCAGGCACTTAGAAAGGGGACATTCAGTCCTCAGGGCCAGACGGTGGAGACGGACTAGAACTTACAAGTCTGCACTGCCTTGTATGGAAACCTTCCTTTAAAATTTTTTAATTGATTCAGAGAGGAAGGAAGAGATAGAAACATCAAGGAGAATCACTGATTGGCTGCCTCCTGCACGCCCCATTCTGGGGGATTGAGCCTAAAACCCAGGCAAGTGCCCTGACCAAGAATCAAACCGTGACCTCCAGGTTCATAGGTTGACACTCAACCACTGAGCCACGCTGGCCAGGCTGTCTGGAAAGCTTAAGAAGACAAACCAGGTTAATTGTGGGGCTCAGAGCGGAGAAAACCCAGGGGTGCTCTAACCTCACTGTCCCTGACCCTGCGGGGGATGATATCAATGCCATGTCTGAAGGGTCCTTGTGAGGAAGGCATGAGGGTCAGGGTCCTGCTGGACTGGTTGGCACATGGTCCCAGCACCTCAGATCTGCCCAGTGCAGTCGGCCGGGTCTCCGTGGGCTGGGCTGGGCGTGTGGATGTGAGTTTCAGCGGTTGTTCTGCTCCTGGCCACCTGGGGGTCCCATGAGGGACACGTGCCCCACCTGTACACACATTCTCACTCGCGGGTTCGAGGGAGTGTGGAGGAGGAGTCCCGTCACACTCTCACTCGGCCTGATCCCTGCTCCGTGAGGCCCGGCCAGAGTGACATGGAAGGCCGTGCTTGGCCTGGCGTCGCCGGACTCAGCAGCTCATCTTCGTGTCTGGAAAGACCTCAAGAGAGGACGGCCCAAAACACTCCTCTCCGTGTCTGCCGGCAACTCTGCCCTGTCCTCATGTTTCTCTGAGATGACAGGGCAGACTCCCGAGCACACGCTGGTGTGATCCAGGGCGGCCCCCCAAGCAGGAATGGCTTACAGACCGTCCGGAGGGACACACAAGCCCAGGCCCAATTTCACGATCTTACCTGTTACCAAGCATGATTTATACAAGTGCCTGGAAGACAAATCGCCGGGGGACAGACTTCTAGTTCCCTACAGATTCGTGCATCTCCAGGGCTCCAGAGCCTTGGGGGACCTCTGGCCACATCGGCCGAGGACGGCTTTTCGGGAAGGCCCAGCTCCTGGCTCCCGGCTCTGAGTTGGGGTCAGCAGTGGACAGAGATCTGAGCTGCTGGGAACCAGGCCTGTCTGTCAAGTCCTGTCCCGCCTCTGCCCGGGCTGCCGGGCACTCAGGGGCCTGAAGACCACAGCCCTTCACGGGTAGCTCCTCAACAGCAGCAGCCTTATGCAATCAGGGACTCCTTGGGGGATGTCGGAGAGCCGGTTTCAGCCTGATCCCGCAGGCCACTCCCCTGGGGAGGGCACCAGACACAGGTGTCATGGCTAGCGAGCGTCTTGGGATCGGGACTGATTGGGCATGACCTGCGGCAGGCACAGTGGGGCCAGGATGAGCGGGAGGGGCAGGCAGGAGCTGCAGGCGGTGTTGGACTGCGGGTTTCTGCCTGATCCCTGCAAGCCACCCAGAGGGACCCCACCCGTGCATGAATTCATGCACCAGGCCTCTAGTAAATAAAGTAAAATGTGTCCAACAAAACCTATTAATGCTTTAGCTTTGCCAGGTCGCAATCATGACTCAGGACTTGGCCTCTCCATGAGGTCAGGAGGCACATGGAAATCAGGAGCCAGGTCTGGAGGAGAATCCCTGGGAGAAGACAGGGCACAAGCAGGAGGCTCACCTGCTCCTTACTTACCACTCATGGGTCCTGGTGGAGGAGCCAGGTTTGCCCAGAGTTAAAGCCACACCCAGCCCTGCCCCGGGTGACTTAGTTGGTTGGGCATCATCTTGAGCACCAAAAGGTTGCTGGTTTGATTCCCGGTTAGGGCTCATTCCCAGGGTTGTGGGCTCAATCCCAGTTAGGAGGCGTGCAAGAGGTGAGGCAGCTGATTGAAGTTTTGCTCTCACATGGATGTTTCTCCCCCGCCAAGAGTGGCTGCAAATCTACTCCTCTTCTCCCCTAGTCCCTGGCTGAGTAGCTCAGTTCATTAGAGCATCATTCCAAAATGCAAGGTTGCAGGTTTGATCCCTAGTCAGGGCACATACAAGAAATAACCAATTGCCAAAACCGGTTTGGCTCAGTGGATAGAGTGTCAGCCTGCGGACTGAAAGGTCCCGGGTTCGATTCGGGTCAATGGCACATCCTCAGTAGGGGGTGTGCGAGAGGCAGCTGGTCAATGTTTCTCTCTCATCCATGTTTCTAACTCTCTATCCCTCTCTCTCCCTCTCTGAAAAAATCAATAAAATATATTTATATATAAAAAAGAAACCAATGAACTAATAAATAACTGGAACAAATCAATCCCTCCCTCTCTCTCCCCCCATCCCTTCCTCTCTCTCAATCAATGAATAAAATTTTTTAAAGGATTTAAAAAAAACTCTCAACTGCACGATCTGGCTCTGCTGCTGCATTAGCCGTTCACATTCGGGGGGAAAAGCTTGTTAACGTGTCCCCCACACACACAGGTTCAAACTCCGCCGTTCCACCTGCTTCACCGCTCCAGGCGTCGGGCGCAGGTCTAAGCATCCACTTAGGAGCTGGCCCAGCACGGAGACAGGCTGGCTGCCTGACAAGGGGCCCTTCCAGATGTGACCCAAGAACAGAGAAGCCGTAGCTTTCAGCTGAGAAGTCCTTGGTTTGGTGACAGGTCACCATGAACAGATTGGGGGGGAGAAGAGGGCAGAGGGGGCAGAGCAGGCTGTGAAGTGCCTTCACCTCCCTCCATGGGATTAGCAGCTCCAGAGGACAGCAGGCCTCTGAGTCACCCTGTAAAGTGACTCCGAAGTGTGACTTGTCACACCCTCAGGGGCTCCTGACCCCAGGGGGCCGGCAGCTTTGCTGGGCGCAGGTTCGTGCTAGTGGATAATCCGGAGCAGGTTCTGAACAATAACCATGCAGCCAAGTCATGGCCCCCCAGGCCCTGCCAGAGCAGCCTCCTGCCCTGGGCGAGGAGAGCCGGGCCTGGGGCTATTTTTCACCAGGTAGCAGGCCACTGTGTCCCTGGAACAGACCTCAGTGACTCCCACGGAGGCCTCTCGGCAGCTCTGCTGCCGAGCATATAAAGGGCTTGGACCCTGCGCCCGGGGACCAGGCGAGGCCTCCAGAGCCGAGGAGCCCCGCACTGCGCTTCCCGCTCCTTCCCGCCTCCAGACCCGCAGACTCGCCTCAAAGGTAAAGGTGTGCACCCGAGTGCGGGGCTGGCGGTCCCCGTGTGTCCTGGGAGTGAAGTGCATCTGCTCCTGGCAACCCTTCTGTCAGCCTCTGAAATGCACCTTCCTCTGAGCCTCACTCAATCTGCTTGGATATGACTCACACTTCCCCATGGGGCTTTTCGTATCTAATTATATGTTTGGATGATGCATCTGAAACATGCTAACCTCAGTGCCCATGTTCACTAACACTGACCGCAGGCAGGGAGTGTGTTTTCAGAGAAAGGTGCTAACTCCCCCAAACCAGTGCCTCAGGGACCTCCGAGAGGACAGCTCACCCACAGTGGGCTTCACACAGAAGGAGGCAAAGAAGACGACCAAGTGGGACGTGTGCTGAACGGGAGGCTGGTGTGCTCAGGTCCATGAATTTATCACTCCCTCAGCTCCATGGAGCCACCACCAATCAGCACTGAGCAAGGCCACAGGCCCCTCATGCCGTGCCTGTGAGTTAAACTCTCTTCCTCACCCAGGCCTTATTACGGCCGGTCCTCCCACTGCTGTCACACAAAGGGGATCACAGATAACACATAACCTACTTTAGTCTCCGATCGCTGCTTCCCCTCGGTATAGCTCCTGGGTTCATCCACATTGAGGGTCAGTATTTCTTATTGCTGCTCAGCATTCCAAGGTATGGATGTTTGACAGGTGTCCACCGTCTCCCTCCCTGAAGGACCTAGGTTGTCTCTACTTGTTGGCGACCATAAACAGGACTGTGCACAGGTGTAGAGGTGTTTGCATTTCTCTAGGCCACACACTGAAGGGAGGAACGGCTGCACACGGCTGTCCATGCAGAGCTGGGAAGCCATGCTTCTGTGAGGAGGGAGGAAGGACAGAGGGAGATTGGGAAGTTGCCGGGCCCACAGGAGCCTCTGCTCTCACACCGGTGGCTGCTGGTCCCGGCGCTGAGGTCGGTGCCCGGCCAGCCCAGCCAGGTCCCCCTCGGGTAAAGACATGCAGCCCCTGAGCCTGGGGGTGTTGCTGCGAGGGCTCGCTGATCTCTCTTCCAGGGGATGAACAACCAGTACGTCCGCCGGGAGGTCTTCTGCCGGAACAGCTGCCACGAGCTCAAACACTTCTGGGAGCGGGAGATCGGCAAGCAGACCTTCTACCGGGAGTCGGAGGAGCGGCGCCTGGGGAGGAGTGCGCTGAGGAAGTATGTGTTTTCAATGGGCCGTTTTTCAGAGCAAGTTCACAGCAAAATGAGCAGAGAACAGAGTTCCCACGTACCCCTCCCCCAGGCACAACCTCCCCACTGTCCAACCCCCACATTGACATGCATCAGCACCCCTGTATCTGTTTCTTTACACAAAATTGACTTTCCAAGGAGAATGCCAGATGGGCATCTCAGAGGATGAACTTATCTTAATTTCCCATGTGTACGTTGCTGCCACCACCCAGAGTTTTAAAATTCTCATCATTAACGCTAAGTGTTATCTCTCCTCTGTCACTGGTCCCAGTGCAGGGGGCTACACACAGTTGGGAGCAGATGCTTGGATACTGCTTTTTTATCCCAGCTGATGATATCGGCACTGTAGCTGGATTGTTTAATCATGAACATCAATTGGCTTGACCGGGTTTAAATCTACCATCAAGCTAGTTATTTCTATTACCTTCTTTTGTTATTTATTCTTTCTCTGCCTTCCTTTGGATTAATTACTTTTTATGATCCACACCATCTCCTCTTAACCTTTAACTTTCTGTGTGTGTCATTTCAGTAGCTGCTTTAGGACTTACACACGCACCCTGACCTTATCACACTCCTTTCCTTCAGGGTGCGCGGCCTCACAGGGAGACCGTGCCCCTGGACACAGTACATGTCATCTCCATGTGCTCTACACCCCACGTCACACAGGGAGCAGTGTTACTTTCAACCACTGACGACCTTTTAATGAGGTTCAAACAGTGAGAGAAGCTGTCAACGTGCATCCACACAGCTGCCTTTCCCGGGCTGTTATTTCCTGCTGGGTGAGGAAGCCTTGCACATGGGCAGTGGCAGCCCGCCAGGAAGGAGCGCTCTCAGGGTTTGCACATCTTAAAGCCTCTGTGTGTGAACGCTAGCCTTGCTGGGTAAACAATTCTAGATTGACATGGTCCTCCCCCAACACACACCCTTTAAAGATATTGCACTTTCAAGGAAAAGTTAGAGGATGGAGATTAGGCTACGTTGAACAGGAGAGTTAAAACACATACATATTTAAATTTGCAAGTCCTCTGCATGCCTTTTGCAACCTGAAACACACACACACACACACACACACACACACGCACCCACGGTCAGGGAAAAAAGGAAGCTTTACCTGAACTCACAGCCCAGGAGATACGTGTCCCTCTGTGTGTTCTGTTTCTATGCTCAGGCTCAGAGAAGAATGGAAGCAGAGAGTGGAAACCAAGCTGAGGCTGAGGAACAATCCAGATGAGACTGAAAAACAGGCAAACGTTGGCCAAGAGCTTCTGGCTTCCTTGACGCAAGGGGATACGGAGCAATGAGGTCACTCTGTGGACAGGCGCGGCTGTGGCCGAGTCCCTTCGCTGTGCCAACCAGCTCTCACCTCACAGGTTCGCCAACGCTTCCCAGCACTCCATGGAGTCAGCAGCTACTCCGGGCTCTCTGCCGGTCTCCGCAGAGGAGATTATTAGATACAAAAGCTCATGTGGCATCTTCACCTCCATGCGACTATCGTCTGGCTTTGAAATGCACGTATTTTCAGTTCTAAGCACGTCAGGGGAATGATTGTCATGGCCATACCGGAAACGCCCACAGTTTTGCTCCCCATTTTCCTCTTAGGAAGCGGGTTCATGTAGTCCTTTCTCTTGTTTTCTTCTTGTAAGAAAAATGCATCTGCTGGAATAAAAATATTGTAAATAGTCGTGAAAATAAGGTTTGCAAATAAAATTACCGAATGCTATTTGGGTTATTGTTAAGCTAACTTAAAAGCTCCCATGCCCGCACAGGTTCTCCCCGTCGGCTCCACTGAAGTGTCTGCCACACGGATTCTGAGCTTTGAAATGCCACCACCTCTCCCCAGACAGCCCTCAGCCCCATCACTGGGGCTGCTGCTTCTTTTTAAAATATATTTTATTGAATTCAGAGAGGCAGGGAGAGGGAGAGGGAGCGATAAAAGCATCATGATGAGAGTCATTGATCTTCTGCCTCCTGCACCCTCCACACGGGGAATTGAGCCCACAACCCTGGCATGTGCTCTGATTGGGAATCGAACTGTGATCTCCTAGTTCATAGGTTGATGCTCAGCCACAGAGCCATGCCAGCTGGGCAGGGTTACAGATTCTTAAAGTACAAACTAGCACTGAGCCTGGGCAACAGTTTCCAAACGAAGCAAGGGAGCAGAAAGAGAATGTGGCAAAGTGCAGGACAGTCGGAGGTCACACCTTCCATACACCTGGCCACGCGCCTGGGAGACACGGGGCCATGGGCCTGGGAGACACAGGGACACACGCACGGGAGACACAGGGCCACATACCCGGGAGACACAGGGCCACACGCCCGGGAGACACGGGCCCACGGGAGACACAGGGCCACACGCCTGGGAGACATAGGACCACATGCCCGGGAGACACGGGCCCACGGGAGACACAGGGCCACACGCCCGGGAGACACGGGGCCACAGGAGACACGGCCACGCACCCAGGAGACACGGGGCCACGGGAGACACAGGGCCACGGGAGACAAGGGGCCACACGCCTGTGAGACACAGGGCCACACGCCTAGGAGAGACACGAGGCCACACGCCTGGGAGACACAGGAGACACGGCCACGCACCCAGGAGACATGGGGCCATGGGCCTGGGAGACACAGGGCCACACGCCCGGAAGACAGGGGGCCACGGGAGACACGGCCACACGCCTGGGAGACCCGGGGCCACGGGCCCAGGAGACACAGGCAGCTTCTGACAGCAGTGTGGCGTTCCAGCCCTCTAAATGCCCTAATGGGCCATGAAGTGCTTCCACCCACGTCCCAGGAGCCAGGAAGCCTCTACCGGGCACTGGGCACTGCCCGAGGCCAGAAGCCTTGGTGGAGTACTTGCCCAGGTCCCACACGTCTCAGAACAGGGCACAGGGCTCAGAGCTCTCCCACTGCTATGCTCTCACGCAACCTGGGATTCAATTCAGTCAACGAGCTCTGAGCTCCAGCTGGTTTGTGGGAGGCCATTGGATGGAAGAGGAATTGGTGGTGGTGGGGAGGCCAGGAGGACTTCACAGAGGGAGGAGAGAGAGGAGAGGGAGGAGATGGAAGGGCTCAGGCTGGAGGCCCAGCAGCCGGGCCAACTGCAAGGCGCTGCTGCTGGGAGCCGGGGTGGGTCCCGGTGAGGCAGGAAGCGCAGGGGAGATTCTGCGTGCATTTGCTGGTTCCTGGAAGCCAGGCCCTGGGCCATGCGACCAGGACACAGATGCTCGGGCAGAAAAGCCGAGGCCCCTGTGAGGGGCTGCAGCCAGCAGGTATGGGGCCCTGGCTGGGGGGAGGGGGCGTCTTAAGAACAGGCTGGGTAAGCCCGGGGCCAGGGGAGGTAAGAGTCAGGCTCCTGGGCCTGGGCGGGAAGACACTGGGCAAAGCACAGTGAGGGCGAAGCAGGAGCTGAAGCTGCAGAATCAGCCTGCACGGCTCTGCCCAAGGTCACAGGGACACGGAGGGTGTGGGCCAGGGGCACGCGCAACGGCCGTGGCTCCGGAGGGTTGTCCCCCCAAAACGTGACTCCCCCAGAGGCCTCCGGAGAGCGAGAGGCTTCACTCGGACACGGGGGTCCGCAGGGGCCGGAGTGAGAGTGCAGCTGTCTGTCCTGGAGGCCAGGAGTCCGGCGCCAAATGCCAGGTGCTGTCTGTCTTGCAGGCGGGCTGCTCAGGGGTCCTCACAGGGTGGGGGCGGGGACGGGGTGGGGGTGCTGTTTGACTCTTCTTACCAAGGCCTGAATCCCAGCATGAAGGCCCCCCTCAGGACCTCAGCTAAACCCAACCCCTCCCAAGGCCGGAGCCCCCAGTCCTCAGGGGGGCTAGGGCTTCATCATGTGGGTTTGGGTGGGAGGAGGGAGCACACAATTCGGTCTGGAGCAGAAGGGGGTTCTTCAATCTGTGCCCCCTGTTCCTGACACACCCACGTATAAAACTGACCCAGATCAGCTCAGCACACACGGTGATGGAGAGGTCCAGGGTGACCTTGGCCTCTGGGAGCCCATAGGGCAGGCCACACAGCACTGCAGGGCTGGGCAAAGGAGCAACACCTAGATCATGGCACACGTGCGCGCGCGCACACACACACACACACACACACACACACACTTGGCCTCTAAAATGAAGGGTGCAACAGGGGTGTGGAGCTTCCGGAACCTTCCCCCTGTGCCCAGCGGCCGGGCCAGGCCTGAGCCCACCTCCGGGTGTGCTCTGCAGCTTCTCTGCTTGGAGTGTTCCCTGAATGAACAGAATTGCACAGCCCGGCCCACATGGCTCAGTGGTTGAGCATCGACCTGCAAACAGGAGGTCACAGTTGTATTCCTGTCAGGGCACATGCCCAGGTGGCAGGCTCAATCCCGTGTGGGGCGTGCAGGAGGCAGCTGATCAATGACTCTCATCACTGATGTTTCTCTCTCTCCCTTATTCTAAAATAAAAATAAAATAAATACACTAAAAAAACAAAACGTAATTGTAGGTTTATACCCTGAGTGGTGTTGCTGGTCCATGCACGAGGTCATGACCCTTCCAGCCCCAAGGGCTGCCTTGGAGGACAGTGCCCAACTCTTATAAGGACTTGAGACAGGGAAAGGGAAGGCCCAGACAGTGTGGCTCAGTGGTTCAGCATCGACCCATGAACCAGGAGGACACGGTTCGATTCCCGGTCAGGGCGCATGCTCGGGTTGCAGGCTTGATCCCCAATTGGGGGCATGCAGGAGGCAGTCGATCATGATTCTCATCATGGATGCTTCTCTCTCTCTCCCTCTGCCTTCCTCTCTCTAAAAAAATAAATAAATTATATATATACACACACACATACATACATATATATACACACACATTCATACACACACACACACACACACACACATATACAATATATATGATATTTAAAACAAAAAAGAGGGAAGGATGCAGAACTGAGGGAAGCCCACGGAGAAGAGAGTTGTTCTCTGCAAAGACTCGCACAGGAAGTGGGATTCGCTCCTTTGATTCACCGACGTCATTCCGCTGCCTCCCACGCGGTTAAGGCGGCCAGTCAGCCAGGACCTGCAGCCACAGGGGAGGCCCATCGCAGTGAGGCCCGGAGGCAGCGGCTAAACAGATCCCATCACCACCAGCAGTCTCTGCCTCAGAAAGCCAGACTCTCCCTCGCAGGCGGGATTAACCAGGCGAGGCAGGTGTGCCAGCAGCTGCAGACCCCAGCTTGGCCAGGAGGAGGCAGCCTGGGGACATTTATCCTCAGCAGCCCTGGCGGAGAGCTGAGCTGCCCGGTGTTGGCCGGGCCCAGGCCCAGGTGGTGTGACTGGTCACTCAGCTACAACCAGGGCACATCTCACCCACGTGACCAGGTGCAGAGAAGAGGCCCAGGTGACACGCGAAGTCTGAGCAAAGGAAGGCCTGTTGTGAGGTCTGCACAGCTCTCTGGGGGCCCCAGCACCCCGGTTTCTATGACAACACCCTAAGGCACAGTCTCGTGGTCTAGGGCAGTGGTTCCCAACCTTGTTCTGGCCACGCCCCGCCTCAGCATCTCTGTCATCCTGATGCCCCCGCCTTGCCCCATGACATAAAATTCTTATTACTCAAAAAGTGAACTCCTGCTCACGTGGAGGAAGGCTAACAAGAGTGAACTTGGTCTACACACGCTTCCAAAGAACATGGCATCCATGAAACGAAAGTGAAAGAACGAAAGGACAGTTGAAGTACTGAGGAAGAAGTCACTAAGAATTTGTTTAAAAAGTAATATGAAGTGATATGAAAAAATAGCAAATAGTTCCAAAATATGAGGCCTGAAAGGGATATGTCACAATAATTATTTAAATGCTGTACACGAGGCCCCTAGAGCCATAAGAAATGCAAAAAGTTCACTGTGAGTAACTCTTCTCGAATTGCTCGCCTTAAAGACCGGGGGCGTGTGCCCCACTGGGAACCGCTGGTCTAAGGAACCTCTTGTCCTTGAACAAACAAAGATGCCTCCGGGGGAGGTAGGATTAAGACTCTTAAAGCCTTTTTCCGTTACAAAGGGGCTGCTGGGTCCTGGAGGACTCTGGGTCCCCGATGGGCGCCGGGCCGGCCGTGACTGCGCCGTGGGCGTGGGGTGGCAGGTGGAGGTCACGCTTCTCCTGGCGAGGCGGCTCCGGGGGACCCGGTCGACAGTGGAGGACGGGCCGGGGAGCCCAGCCGCAGAGGCTGGGTGGGGAGACCACCGCGCACCCCCAGGGCACAGGGGGCCGCGCAGCGTGCGCAGCGCCCTGAGCCCGGGCGGGAGCACAGCCTGTGCAGCCCGTGGGGACGGACAGACCCGGTCTGCGGGGCGCGGACCCGCTGCAACGGCGACCCCTGGCGGCCAAACACGCGCAGCGCACCCCGGGCAACCCTGACTGGTTTGTAACCCGGCGCTGGTAGCAATGGGAGGGCGTCCCTTATCCCTCCTCCCTCCCGGGTCCCGGGTCCGTCTCAGCCAAACCCAGGCCCTCGCGGGCGGGCAGCTCTGTGGTCAGAAAGCGGCCGTAGACGTCAGAGCAGCTCTCCCAGCCCTCCCCTCCACTCGCCTCCCCTCCCCCGGGACAGGAGTCCCGTTTGGGATCCGTTCACCTCGTCCCCATGGTACCCGCCCAGATCCCCAGCCTGGAGGCCGGCGGGACCAGAAAGATGGAGGGCGCAGGGCCCGGCCCTGAGACACCGGCTCCCTGGGAGCCAACCACACCAGGCGCTGACTCCGGAGTGAGGCCACCCCCGGCTGCTGAGCCACCACTCCACCAGCCTCCGGGCACCCAGGCAGCACCAGGCAGCCCTCAGTGAATGGGCGATGACCTCCATTTCCATCTCCTGCAAAGGGTCCGCCCGCCCGCCTTCTGTGAAGGTCTGATACCGCCCTGGCTGCCCCCACTCTCCCGAGACCCTGAGAGGTCAGTTCAGTGGGTGCTGGGCAAAGTCCCCTGGTCCCGGAGAACCCGAGCTCCTCCAGGGCCCCCTCCCTGAGGTCCTCCAGAGCCCCATCCCCCAGCTCCTCCAGGGCCCCATCCCCCAGCTCCTCCCTGAGTTCCTCCGGCCCGGTCCCTGAGCTCCTCCCTGAGCTCCTCCCCGAGCTCCTCCCTGAGCTCCTCCCCGAGCTCTTCCCCAGCTCCTCCAGGGCCCCCTCCCTCCTCCCTGAGCTCCTCCAGGGCCCCCTCCCTGAGCTCCTCCCCCAGCTCCTCCCTGAGCTCCTCCCCCAGCTCCTCCAGGGCCCCCTCCCTCCTCCCTGAGCTCCTCCAGGGCCCCCTCCCTCCTCCCTGAGCTCCTCCAGGGCCCCCTCCCTCCTCCCCAGCTCCTCCCCCAGCTCCTCCCCCAGCTCTTCGGCCCGTCCCTGAGCTCCTCCCTGAGCTCCTCCAGGGCCCCCTCCCTCCTCCCTGAGCTCCTCCCCAGCTCCTCCCCCAGCTCCTCCCCAGCTCCTCCCGGAGCTCCTCGGGGCCCCGTCCCTGAGTCCCGTCCCCCAGCTCCTCGGGGCCCGTCCCTGAGCTCCTCCCTGAGCTCCTCCAGGGCCCCCTCCCTCCTCCCTGAGCTCCTCCAGGGCCCCCTCCCTGAGCTCCTCCCCCAGGTCCCCAGCTCCTCCCCGAGCTCCTCGGGGCCCCGTCCCTGAGTCCCGTCCCCCAGCTCCTTGGGGCCCTCTCCCCCAGGCAGAGGCAGAGGCAGCGGGAGGCGGCGGGCTGGGAGGTGCAGGGCTTGCCCGCCCGCTGGCCCTGGTCCAGGCGGAGAACTGGCTGGAGAGGGCGGCACACCGGTCAGTGCCCTAGTCCTGGGTAAGCACGCTGGGCAGCCTCCCTCGACCTCCGACCCGCATGTGGCGACCCCAGTTAGAGACAGCCGCCCCCTTTCCTCCGCAGGGGGCAGCACAGGGGCCCCAAGTCTCTCGCCGCCGCCCAATCATCTGAGTGTCTGTGTGTGCCCCAGCCCGAGGCTCCGGTGGTTCCTGAGCCGCCTCCTGCTTCCGTCCAGGGAAGGGCGCAGGGGGCCCGGCAGCTGCACAAACCACCCCTCCCGTCTTCACTGGCGGAGTCCGAAAGGAGTCAGGTCCCAGGAGCCACTCATGGGAAAAGGCTGGTAGATGGAGGGGTCACCAGGAGCTCTTCCAGGGAAAGGGGAAACTGAGGACACAGACGGTGACATGAGAATCGCGGGTCCAGCCCAGAACTCCAGCAGCAGGACAGATGAAAGGCCCTTTACAGACAAGTCCATTTTACAGATGGCAACACTGAGGCTCAAGGACTTGAAAGCAAGGCTCAGGCAAGGAGAAGCCAGTGGCTCCTCCCCCAGCCTGCGAGCCACTGCCGGTGAAGGTCGCTGGAGACTGGTCTGGTGGCAGAGGAAGGCACCGTGGCACTGGGGCCACACCGGTCCCCTCACCGATCCGGTCGGGGCTGCCGCGCGTCTCCCTGCGAGAAACTCCGAGAGCACCACCTGCAGGGCCCCTGCTGCCCCCTGCTGGCTGCCTGGAGTCCACACAGCCTGCTCATCACTACGGCTGGCCCAGGGCGGGCAGAGCGACCAGGGCCCCCTGGAGTCCTGGCAGGTGGGCCGTGGAGGCGAGCCGGCCGTCCCTCTGGATGTGCTGGTAACAGGACTGGAAGGAGGGGAGACAGGGAGGGGAGGCTGCTGTCCTGCCTGCTTCCAGCCAGTGCACGGCTTGGGGCGGTTACCAGGTGCACCCCCACCCGCGCCTGCACCACGTCTCCACGGGGCCCTCACCACGGCCCTCCCCTGTGCCGGGCTGCCGCTGCGCCACACCCGTGCCCGGGTGCCGGGCTGGGAGGCACGCCCCGGCTCTGCGAGGTCCCTGTGGGGAGGCACACGGCAGGGCGGGGTCTGCCCAGCGGCCGGGCAGTCTGGCTCACCTCCAGGGCCGTGAGCAGGAAGTCATAGCGGCCGCCAGTGTGGCTGGGGTCCATCATGTCCCGGGTCAGGTGGATCTCGGCTCCCAGGTGCTGGATTCTGGAGAACGGCCCGCGGTGAGAGGGAGAAGGGGCCGCCAGGGACAGGCCCGCGGCGGGGGAGAGGGGCCTGGGAGGCTGGGCACCTGGGCGAGGCCCCTGCTCTGCTCTGATGCCCATGGGACCAAGCGGCGCCCTGGGACCCGCTTCTCTGTGGCCCAGCGTGCCCGTCGGCACTGAGATACCAAGGAAAGCAGTGACGTCCACAGCTGCTGTTCAATGTCGGGAAGGGTGGTGGGTGGGGGTGGAGAGGGTGGCTGGAGGGAGTAGGAGGGGTGGGGTGGGATGAGGTTAGCCAGGGGAGGGGGGTGGGGAGGGTGGCTGGAGGGGGTAGGATGGGTGGGGTGGGGTGGGTGGGGTTAGCCGGGGGAGGGGAGGGGTAGGTGGGGTGGGGGTGGGGAGGGGGGGGTGGGAAGGGGTGGGGTGGGGTGGGGGGGTGGGGTGGGAAGGGGTGGGGGGGACGGGTGGGGTGGGGTGGGACGGGTGGGGAGGGGTGGGGTTGGCCGGGGGAGGGGGGTGGGAAGGGGTGGGACGGGTGGGGACGGGTGGGGTTGGCCGGGGGAGGGCCCCTCAGCCAGCAGCTCACCGGGCACGCACCACCACGTAGACCAGCAGGGGCAGCAGGTCGTCCATGGGCAGCTTGTGCTCCTGGCCCAGCACCCAGGACACCGTGGCCTCGATCTCCTCATACGTCCTCTCCAGCGCCTCCAGCTTCTCCTGGGCATCCACGGTGGTGCTGCCGACACAGGGACCCACGCCCGGCTCAGTCCCACGGGCCCCCCACGCCCGGCTCAGTCCCACGGGCCCCCCACGCCCGCCTCCCCCCACGCCCGGCTCAGTCCCACGGGCCCCCCACGCCCAGCTCAGTCCCACGGGCCCCCCACGCCCGGCTCAGTCCCCACGGGCCCCCCACGCCCGCCTCCCCCCACGCCCGGCTCAGTCCCACGGGCCCCCCACGCCCAGCTCAGTCCCACGGGCCCCCCACGCCCCCCATGCCCGCCTCCCCCACGCCCGCCTCCCCCAACCCTGCCCGGGCCCCAGACTCACACGATCTTCTGCAGACACTCGGTGGCTGACACCAGGGAGTGTCTCTGGGGGGGGGTGGGGAGCAGCTGGTGAGGCCCCAGCCCCCCAGCTCCGCCGCAGCCCCTCCCGGCCACCCGCCCATCCCCATCAGTGGCTGCAGCACAGCCCTGCCCAGAGGGCGGAGAGCACGGGACAGCTCTGCTGTGGCCTCCACTTACTCAGCTGTAAAATGGGAGCATGGCTGGCAGGAGGTTGGATCAAAATGGGTAAAGATAATAATCAGAACAGCCACGGCCACAGCTGCGCCAGTTCTGATGGCCTGTCAGTAGCCCAATTCCTGATGCCCTGCGTTTCCGACCCGTGGGTCTGAGGGCCGAGAACCCGCTTTTCTAACAGGTTCTCAGAGGCTGCTGCTGCCTGGGGAGGGGCAGCCACTTCCCCGCAGCCCACCCTGCAGCCGACGAGGACACAGGCACAGAGCTCAGCACCGGGCCCCGGCAACAGAACCACGAGAGGTGGAGCCTGGGCCCGAGCCTGGCCACTGTGGGCCACCAGCTGCCCCTCACCCCCACGGCGGCCACAGCCACCGCGGAGCCTGGCATCCCCTCCTCACCCTGCGCCCCTCCTGGCCTCTGCAGCCTCTGACCAGCAACCCGAGGCGGAGGGGGAAGCTGGCGCGAAGGTGGGGCTAAGCTCAGGGAGCAGGCCTCCCCGGCCAGGTGCAAGGCCTGCTCTCTCACCTGATGGGGCATCAGCATGAGGTTCTTGAGGGGCCACAGGTGCCTGAAATGTAAGAAATGCAACAGGACGCTTTGCCAAGGGGAGGGGGCAGGGTCCGAGGTCCGAGGGCAGTTCCCTGTGTCCCCCAGCAGGACCGCGTGCAGCCCAGGGCATGTGTGTGCAGCCCAGGGCAGGAAGAGGCTCGGAGGATTCCTGGAGAAAGGAGACCGCCCTCTGGTCCCAGCATGAAGGCGATGTGGCAGCTGGGGGGTGTGGAGGAGAGACACCTGGGAAGCCGGGGGCACCTGGTCTCTGGACTGTGACTGGTCAGATGCAGGAAATAGTCCCCACGGGAAAACGGGGCGTGGGGGCACCCTCCCTGAGTGACAAAAGCCAGGCCCTCATCCCTCGCAGGATCCATGGTCGGGAGGGGTGCTGAGGAGAAGGGTGTTGTGGGTAGAGGGAGGCCCTGCTCGGTTTCCCCTTGAGGATCTCCCTTCCCCTGCTCTCAGTCCAAGAGAAGGAGCAGGCGCACTTGCCCACCCCAATGCAAGTTGGGCCAGCCAGCATTCGGGGAGCACTCCAGGCCCAGGCCAAGCCAGTGAGGGACTAGGGGGCGCTGCGGGGGCTGCTGGGCAGGGGACCCAGCTCCTTGTGGGGACAGTAAGGGGACTGAGCCCGGCAAGGTTAAACCGTGAGGGGCAGAAGCCAGACCCGTCACCACGGGGACCCAGAGACAGACCAGCACAGAGATGCTGCCTCCCTACCCCGCGCAGAGAGCACCGGACCAGCCGAGTCCGAGCCAGACCGCCCGCCTCGCCAGAACCTGGATGCACGGCCAATAACGCCCCCATCTTTGCTAACGGACACGCGCATGTGCCCTCGCTGGGAGCTTACTTCTGCACGTCCAGCAGCTCCAGGAGCTGGGTGTCCGGGAAGAGGCCCAGGCTGGCGATGCCCTGGCCGTACAGATGGTCCTCGTGCTCGTGGAGCAGCAGGTAGAGCGTGAAGAGCTCCGAGTAGAAGCTGGGCAGCACGAGGGGCAGCACCAGCCGGTGCACCTGCCGGGTCCTGGGGACAGCGGCCGGGGCGGGGGGGTCAGCAGGAGGGCGGTGTGGTCACGACTGGAGCCGCCCTCCGAGCCCATCCACCACAGCGTCCCGCCCCAGCCTCCTCCCGTCCGAGGAGCCCTCCACCAGCTGTGCTCCGCCAGCACGGCCGATGCTCTGCCTCCTGCTTCTCGTGCGCCTGGAGCCGGCGTGGCAGGCGGAGCGGGTTTAATCCCATTTCACTGGAGCCACCGAGCCCCAGGTGGACGGGGACGGCCCCCGGGACGGGCCTTCCTGCTGGGGCTGGGTCACACATTCCGACAGAGGTATTTGGGGCACTGCCTGCCGCCCGCCCCCACACAACCGGAACCGAGGGCTTGGGTCATGGCTCGGCTCATGGAACTGATCGTGGGTCCTCTGACCCTTGAATGCTCTCTGAACAAGCTTGGTCCTAGCTTCACTCCCCCCACTTCTCAGAAGCATCCCTTCCCCCAAGGGGCCCGGAAATCGAGGTGTGGGGCCTCCCTAGGCCCGGCGGGGGGGTGGGAGGGGAGAGGTTAGACAGGACTCACAGACCCCAAGGGGACTGGGCAGCCACCTTGTCTCTGCATCTTCCTCTTCGGCTGGGGCCTCGCCCTTGTGCTCTAAGGCAACCTGCAGCAGCCCCCTGCAGCCAGCGAGAAGGGGAGTGTGGGAGGGGGCGGCCCGTCTCCTTCTCAGCACCTCCCATGGACCAGCGCGCCTGCCCTCAGGGCCGTGGCTCCACCCCAGACCTGGGACACAGCTTCCCGGACCTCAGGGGGAGGAGCCTGGGAGGACAGGCTGCCTGGCCGAGTCCTGGCCCCTCTGTGATGATTCTCGGGGTGCAGCTCAGCCAGGACTGGACAGGCGGCCCTAGTCTAGGGTCAGGCTTAGCCTTCAGGGGGGTCAGAGTTCCCCTGGGGTCAGGGGTCAGCCCAGGGCCCAATCGGGCCTGGCCATCATCTCCCCATCCTCTGCTCCCCAGCTGCACACTGACCAGCCCACCCCCTGGTTCCGTCTCCCCCCAGACTCAGGGGGAAGCACCATGGCCGCCCTGGGTCCAGCACAGCCGATGCCGGGAAAGGGCTGAGCCGGCCGCGGGGCAGCGGCTGCCCACCTCTGCCCCGGGCTCACCTGTAGGCGGCCCAGAGCTCCCGGGCGTGCTGCTTCACCTCCTCCTGGGCCAGCGCCTGCAGGTGCTTGTTGGCCCCGAAGCCCGAGTACGTGGCCTGGAAGGTCAGCATCAGCATCCGCAGCAGCTTCCCCAGGGGGTGCAGCGAGCTGCCCAGGGCCTGCGGGTGCGGAGAGATGCTGGGCCGGGCCTGGAGCCCACAGGCCCGACGAGATTCCCACGCTGCGCCCATCTCATCGGGGCACACCGAGGCCCTCCGAGGAGGAGCCACACCTGGCCCCTCGGGTGGCCCCAGGCCTCACCTTCCGGAGACACTGCTGCAGGGCCTCCGGCTCCCGGTGCCGTGCCACCTCCTCCAGGATGTCCTCCATCCTGCCCACACTGTCGTCCAGCAGGGTCCTGAGGCGCCAAGCACATGTCCCTCAGCCACCCCCAGCCCAGGACTCCCCTCCAGGAAGCCTGGGGTCCCCGCGGTGCGGGCACAATGCCGGCTGACCTCTCGCAGCACAGGTACTCCTGGGACTCTCGCAGTTCCCGCAGGCTCTGCACGTGGAAGCCCAGCAGCGCCTCCTGCAGGTCCCCGGGGCAGCCGGCACGCACAAAGTCCCGGAAGGGGCCGACGACGCCCTGCCAGCGGCCCTCTGCAGGGAAGGCGCCCAGGCCCAGCTGCCTGTGAGGGAACGTGGGGGCGGGGAGAAAGGGAGCTGGGGCGGGCAGGCCCCTGTCCAGGCCCTGGGGAGTGGGGATTGCCGCCTGGCCCAGTCAAGGCCAGTGAGGGGCATGGATTGGGGCACACGGGGCCCTCCAGGCTCCAGCAGGAGAAAGGAGGCGCTCACCTCCGGCAGGTGCTGCTGGGGTCGGGCAGGGGGGCGGCCGTGTCCAGCACGCCCTGTGTGTACAGCCCCCTGCGGGCCACGCTGCCAAAGGAGCCCTCCAGGGTGTAGCCGTTGGGGAAGGTGACCTTGCCCTGGAAGCAGAGAGGGAAGCAGGGACGTCTGTCTACGCTGTCTGTCCAGGTGCCCTTCCATCCAATCAGGAGAGGCCTCATGCCTGTCCATCCCATGCCACAGAGGGGAGGGACCGAGGGTGGCTTCCCTCCACCCATTTAACCTGCCCCCCAAGGGCTCCCGGTGCCCCACCCCCAGCAGCTCCCCACCCAGCGGCTCCCCACCCGGAGCCCTGCCCTTCCCCAGGGGCACCTCTGAGGTAGGAGACGGGAGCTGGGGAGGAGGGACTGGGCTCAGGCGGAGCACCACAGCTGTGGGCCGGGGCGGGAGAGCCCAGAGGTGGGCAGGGGTCTGGGCTGTTCCACTCCTAGCACTCCTGGCCCCGGCCAGTCAAATGCCGTAAGAACAAAATCAAACAGCCCCACGTTCAAAGGGCCACCAGGACACACTGCCTCCTGCTGGGTCAGCGGGGCAGGAAGAGCCGGGCACCTGCCCCAGGCACGGGCGATGCTGGTGGCGGGAGGATCCCAACGGGGAGATGTGCGGGGCCGCCGGGGCACCCGCACGGCCCACCCTTCCGACTCCCCAGGACCACATCACCCACAGGAGGGCCCCGGTGCCCGGATTGGGGAGGCACTTCCTCCTGCTCCCCCCATGCCCAGCCCAGCCCAGCCCCGCCCCAGGGGGAGGCTCGGGTTCCAGTCCTGGCCTTGGCCTTGGCGGGGGCGGGCCTCACCTTCCCCAGGAGGGTCAGGTCCCTGGTGAAGGTGCCCTCACACAAGGAGTCGTCTTCAGAGAGGAGGGTCCCTGCGCCCTAGGGAGGGAAGCCAGTAAGAGGCCGGTGGGTTCGGGAGGGCCAGAGACATGGGCGGCGGGGAGGTACAGGAACGGGTGTGGCGCTGATTCGTGGGGAGCAGGTCCTGACCCGGCCACACCTCCTGGGACTGTGCTGGGTGGGACGCCAGCCCCCGGCGGCTGAGCCCCGGACCTCATCCCGTCGCCCTGTACACCTCCTGTGCGGGCTCCCTCCGCCCCCCAGGGCCCTCAGGAAGCCTCCAGGGAGCCCCTGCCTGCCCCTGCCCCGCGCCCCCCCCCTGCTCAGGAATAGTATGAACCACCCCACTTCCTGCCACGGGCTCAGAGAGGGACGGTGGGACGGATCCCGGGAGCCGTAGCGAACGGGACGCTGTTTCTGTTCTTGTTTCTGCTCCGTCTTCCCCTCCTCAGTCCTCTCTGAACAAGGGGCAGCATGAGCAGACAACACACTCAACAGCCACAGTGCTGGGGGGCGCTGGGGGGGGAGAGCTGGCGGAGGCGGGGGTGCTGGTGGGGGAGCTGGTGCGGGGAGGGGGGTGCTGGTGGGGGGAGAGCTGGCGGGGAGGGGGATGCTGGTGGGGGAGCTGGTTCGGGGAGGGGGGTGCTGGTGGGGGGAGAGCTGGTTCGGGGGTGGGGGTGCTGGTGGGAGAGCTGGCAGGGGCGGGGGTGCTGGTGGGGGAGCTGGTGCGGGGGTGGGGGTGCTGGTGGGAGAGCTGGCAGGGGCGGGGGTGCTGGTGGGGGAGCTGGTGCGGGGAGGGGGATGCTGGTGGGGGGAGAGCTGGCAGGGCGGGGGTGCTGGTTGGGGAGCTGGTTCGGGGAGGGGGATGCTGGTGGGGGAGCTGGTTCGGGGAGGGGGGTGCTGGTGGGGGAGCTGGTTCGGGGGTGGGGGAGCTGGTGGGGGAGCTGGTTCGGGGGTGGGGGTGCTGGTGGGGGAGCTGGCTCGGGGCGGGGGTGCTGGTGGGGGAGCTGGTTCGGGGGTGGGGGTGCAGGTGGGGGAGCTGGCTCGGGGCGGGGGTGCTGGTGGGGGAGCTGGCTCGGGGGTGGGGGTGCTGGTGGGGGAGCTGGCTCGGGGGTGGGGGTGCTGGTGGGGGAGCTGGCTCGGGGGTGGGGGTGCTGGTGGGGGAGAGCTGGTTCGGGGGCGGGGGTGCTGGTTGGGGAGCTGGCGGGGGTGGGGGTGCTGGTGGGGGAGCTGGCGGGGGTGGGGGTGCTGGTGGGGGAGCTGGCGGGGGTGGGGGTGCTGGTTGGGGAGCTGGCGGGGGTGGGGGTGCTGGTGGGAGAGCTGGTTCGGGGGTGGGGGTGCTGGTGGGGGAGCTGGCTCGGGGAGGGGGATGCTGGTGGGGGAGAGCTGCTGCGGGGAGCCGGCTCAGGACCCTGGTCTGCGTCCCAGCCCTGGCACTGGCGGAATGTGACAGTGGGCAGTTCTCTGGCCTCCCTGAGCCTCTCGCGAGTGATCCCTACACCAGGGACAATGATGGGGCCCAGGGGCCACTGAGGGATCCCCGAGATTGTGCTGGGAGCCGAGTCTGAGCTGGGCGTCTGGTTAGGGGCCCATGAATGTGGGTGCTTGGCTGCTGGCGTCGCCAGGGCCCTGCCCTCGCTCTCACTGCCTCTCTTAGCCTTTGCCACGAGCAGGTGACCCGGATTGCTGGTGGGGAAGCAGGCGGGAGGGCCAGGCGGGGGGTGGGGTGGGGTGGGGGTGCAGGACTGGAATCCTGCCCGCACCAGGACCCCAGCTTCCTCCTCCCCACCCTGACCAGCTCGGCTCTGCCTGAGGTCCCCGGAGCAGAGAGAATGGAGCTCAGACACACGGGGTCACGCCACTCACCACCATCTTGTCTGCCTGGAAGGTCCCCTGGTAGCAGACGCCTGCCTGGGTGACCAGGAGCCCAGGGCCGTGGCGCTGGTCTGCCTGCCACAGGCCAATGTAGCGCTCGCCCCTGAGGAGGGGGTGGCAGCGTTAATGACAATCGTCCCATGTACCGTGTGTGTGTTCTGGGGTGTGTGTGTTCTGGGGTGTGTGTGTGTGTGTTCTAGTGTGTGTGCGTGTGTTCCAGTGTGTATGTGTGTGTGTGTGTGTGTGTTCTAGTGTGTGTGTGTGTGTGTTCTAGTGTGTGTGTGTGTGTGTGTGTGTTCTAGTGTGTGTGTGTGTGTGTGTGTGTGTTCTGGTGTGTGTGTGTGTGTGTGTTCTAGTGTGTGTGTGTGTGTGTGTGTGTTCTAGTGTGTGTGTGTGTGTGTGTGTGTGTGTTCTAGTGTGTGTGTGTATGTGTGTGTTCTAGTGTGTGTGTGTGTGTGTGTGTGTTCTGGTGTGTGTGTGTGTGTGTTCTGGTGTGTGTGTGTGTTCTGGTGTGTGTGTGTGTGTTCTAGTGTGTGTGTGTGTGTGTTCTAGTGTGTGTGTGTGTGTTCTAGTGTGTGTGTGTGTGTGTGTGTTCTAGTGTGTGTGTGTGTGTGTGTTCTGGTGTGTGTGTGTGTTCTGGTGTGTGTGTGTGTGTGTGTTCTAGTGTGTGTGTGCGTGTTCTGGGGTGTGTGTGTGTTCTAGTGTGTGTGTGTGTGTTCCAGTGTGTATGTGTGTGTGTGTGTTCTAGTGTGTGTGTGTGTGTGTGTGTTCTAGTGTGTGTGTGTGTGTGTGTGTGTGTTCTAGTGTGTGTGTGTGTGTGTGTGTGTGTGTTCTGGTGTGTGTGTGTGTGTGTGTGTGTGTGTGTTCTGGTGTGTGTGTGTTCTGGTGTGTGTGTGTTCTGGTGTGTGTGTGTGTGTGTGTTCTAGTGTGTGTGTGTGTATTCTGGGGTGTATGTGTTCTGGTGTGTGTGTAGGGGGTGATCGCTGCGGTCGGGGGTGGAGGCACATAAGGAGCCATGACATCGCCTGAGTCTATTAAACTCAGATGCAGGCAGGTGACATCAGGCCCTCCAGAGAGGGGAGGGGGGAGAGAGCCTGCCTGGGGAGGGCATCTGGCAGGAGATACACAGGGATGTCCAGTGTCCATGGGGGGGGGCACCCAGGTGTCACCATGGGAACAAGGTCGGAGGCGGAGCCTCAGATGCCAGGCTGGGGCCCTGAGTCTGGGGTCCCCCAGAGCCTGGGGGGTCGTGGCCCCTCCCATGGGGCCAAGCCAAGCCAGACAGCAGCTTCCGGAGCCGGAGACAGCCAGGGGAGGGGCGGGGAGGGAGCACCGGACACTCGGACAAACAGACGACTTCCCGTGACAGGAAGCCTGTGCCTGAGGTTGTGTGGTCCTGAGGGCTTTCTCTGCCCCCCACCCCAACCCCCGGAGGCCCGGGTCACCTGCCGCCGTCTTCCTGGATCCCGTAGCCGCTGCGCTGGCCCCGCTCCCAGTGGCCCGTGTACTTGCAGGGACAAGGGGCCTGCGGGGAGCTCTCCAGGACCCCAAAGCCATGCCGCAGGCCCGCCTGGAAGTAGCCCTTGTACACCTCATCCGAGCTGTACCTGCAGAGGTCACCATGTGGTCCCACCACCCAGGGGGAGCCTGGACCGAGAGCCCGCCCGCCCGCCCCGGCGGCACTTACTCACAGATGCCATAGCCGCACATGCTGCCGTCCCGCCAGTGGCACTTGTAGCAGTCGAACTTGTCCTCGGCGGCCTGGGGCACCAGGCAGATGCCAAAGCTGTCAGCGTGGGTGGGCGGAGGGAGTTGGCACAGGCCCGCCGGGCCCCCAGCCCCTTCCTACCCTCCAGGCCTTTCTCAGACGATGGGGAGTCTCAGTGCTTCTTTCCGGGGCCGCTCAGGACACCCCAACCCCCCGTGCACCCCGGCAGCCGCTGCGGGGCCTCGCTTCCCTCTGGTGCTGGGACGGGAGCTGCACCGTTTGGGTTTGGGAATCTAGGGAGGGCCAGGCTGTGCTGTGGCTCGAACCCTTCTCCCGCCCGCATGCTCCCGCACCGGCCCCAGCCTCACCCGTGCTCCAGGCCCTGGCAGAAGCTGCCCACGTGGTTCTTCCCGTCAGGCCACTTCAGGGTTCCCCTGTGACAGGGAGGCCATGGGTCAGCCCAGCAGACCCCCCTCCACACACCCAGCAGAACTGACCACTGATCACGGGAGCCAGAGCTGTGGCTCTGCCCAAGGAAGGGCCGTGCGGGCCTGCCGCCCCTCCCGGAGCCCGTCACTCACCTGCCGTGGGGCCGGCCCCGGCACCACTCGCCCTCATACGTGGCCCGGCAGAGCCGGCCCTCTGCCAGGAAGGTGTGCGCCGCGGAGCGGCAGGCGGGGGTCTCGCAGGACGCCAGGCCGGCCCCCCGCACTAGGAAGTCCTTCTTCCCCCGCAGAGCCCGGCACACGGCCTGGGTGACCGTGTGCCGCCAGAGCACCTGGGGAGGAGCCGGGCCGGTCACGGCGCTGGAGGCCCCCGTCGGCAGGACTTCTGGGGACGCCAGCTCGACCCCCTCCCCCCTCCAACCCTGTCTGCCGCCTGGAGGACTCTCCAGCCACTCCATGCTGCACTAGGCCCTCCTTCCACACCTGAGCTCCCCGTTGGCAGTCCCAGGGCCCGCCCGGGGGTGGGGGGCTGGGGGTGTTGGGAAGTGGGGGTGGGGGCAGGCAAAACCGCCAGGCCCCAGCACTGGCTCCACCGAGAAAAATACCTGCCTCCACTGCATTCTGATGCTCAGTCCCAGGCGGACCCCTGACCTCCTCTGACCACGACGCCAGAGGCTCAGGTTGTATACCTGTGTCCCCCCTCCCTGCCTGTCTCCCTCCCTCCCTCCCGGCCCCACACCCAGCTCACAGCTCACCCCCACTCACCAGGTCCTGGGGGCGCTTGGAACCGAAGAAAAGCTCCTCTTCCGGAGTGAGGAGGTGAAAGGCGCGCCTAGACGGACGGAGAGGCGACAGGCTGTGTCCAGGGGCTGGGCCCAGACGGAGCCTGGGTACGGGCGGGACATGGGGTACAGGAAGGGAGGCCTGGAGTGTGGCTGAGGGAGGCTGCTCACCCGTCCTGCTCGGGATCCACCCACACCAGCTTCAGGTCGAAGGTGTGGGCTCTGTGACCCTGGGAACGGGACACAGGGTCATGCAGAGCCCAGACCAGATGCCACCTCCTCGGGCCGAGCGCCAGCCTGTGGGGCACACCTCGTCCCCGGCTGCCGGTCCCGCAGGCCCAGCCCAGACCTCACCACCCACACCTGCCCTGCCTCCAGGGCAGCCCCGTCCCAGCCCAAATCCTGCTCCACCGCAGCCACAGATCAGGCTCCGGAGGCGCCGCTGGGCCCCACCAGCCCCTGCGGGACCCTCTCTCTGGGTCCTGCTGCCCGGCGAGGAGCCCTCACTCCCACCTGCTTCACCCTTTCCCGCTCCTCAACCAGACCTGGGTGGCCCCACCCACCTGCAGGAGGACGAGGATGTCGTCGAAGAGCAGCACCCGCTCGGCCTGCAGTGGCGTGACCGTCACGGGGACGTCCTGGCTGTCTTGCAAGAGGCGGCGAGCAGGGGTGCAGAGGGCATCCTGGCGAGGGGGCAGGGCTTGGGCACCCATCCTGCATGCGCTGGCCACTCCACTCCTGCCTCCACCCCCCTCCCACCTGCTCCTGCCTCCACCCTCCACCCCCCCTCCCACCTGCTGGAGGCCCCCAGGTCACATGGACACGGATGGATGGTGATGGTAGAGGCGGGGGGGTGATCCCAGCCCCTCCCAACGGGGCCACACGAGCTCTCTGAAGCACCGTTTGCCTCCCAGCCCACCTGCTGCCATGGCCCCCTGTCACCTCTCACCTGATCTCCCTCTGGCAACTCTTGCCCCACCCCCCGCCTGTTCTCCTGATCTCTATCCTCAGCCCCAAGCCTGGCACCGGGAACGTGCCCCTGCAGGGACTGCGTGCCGCGGCGGGTTGAGCGGTTGGGGTGCCATCCCAGGAGAGAGGGTCAGCTCGGCCGGCCCCTCTTGCCCAGATCCAGCTCTCGGCCGGGCCCAGGAGGCGCTCAGCCATTGGGGGAACGTGGCAGACAGAGGGGCCTCATGGCCGCCCGGTCAGCCACCAGCCCACTCCCGATGGGAAGCCCCAGCAGGCCCCTGACGGGCCTCGGGCCCTCACCCGCAGCCGGCCGCTCAGGCTGTGCCACAGGGCCTGTGTGGCCTCGGCCTGGTCCAGCGCCTGCTTCATGAAGGACTGGAGGTCCCCAAAGAGGGCAGCCGCCTGCACCACCAGCTCCCGGGCGGGGTGACCCTGCAGGGACAGCAGCCAGGCAGGGCCTTTCAGAGCCGCCCAGGACGGCTGCCCGGCTCTGGCCTGCGCCTCGGCCCCAGGGCACCCTCTCCCCCACAGCTCCTCCGGACATGGCCCGCGCACAGATCGCACAGGGAAGCCGGCCTCTCCAGGTCTCCCCAGCTGGGCCTGGGCCCCACCCTGGTACCGGATTCCTTGTCTGCACCCCGGGGCTCTGCCAGCTCCCCCAGGGCAGGGCCAAGAACCTCAGCCGAGCCCAGGACAAACACACATCCCTCCAACCCCCTCAGAACAGGGCCACGTCCCCACAGCCCGGCCGGTCCTTCCCAAACCAGGGTCCCGAGTTCCCAGCGTCCTGAGCCGGGGCCTGCGTCTCCCCAGCCTCGGCCTCCCACAGGCCACAGGCCGGTGGGCAGCCCTGACCCCGCCCCACTCACCTCCCCGAGGGCATCGCCGAGGCTCAGCAGGAGGAGCGCATACTTCTGCACGTGGTGGGCGAGCGGCTGGCGCAGGGCCTGGACCATCGCGGTGCCCATGGAGCCCCCGGGGTTCAGGCCCCACAGCAGCTGCCGCAGGGCCTTCCGCCGGCCCCGCCAGTAGTCCCTGAGGGAGGACGGGTGCCCCTCACTCCTGCATCGGCGCCCGCCCGCCCAGGTGAGCCCCCGCTCCCAGCGCCCAGCCTGCCCAGCCTGCCCAGCCCTCTCCCAGCCGCTGCACGGAGCCCCACGGCCCCTGGCGTCTCAGGGGGTGCTGACCGCACCATCGCCCAGGGAGGCGTCCCCACCCTGACCCAGGGGCACCCCTGGCCCTGGGCCTGGCAGCTGCTTGCTAGGTTTGCCACCTCCTTCCTGTCGACCAGTGAGGAGCTGACGGAGCTGGAAGTGCTCAGGCTGAGTCCTGGGCCTGGACGCTCAGTGCTCCGGGCAGAGCTTCCCCCCTCTTCCTTCCCAGATGCCCCCCGTCCTCCCCCCCCCCCCCCCCCCGGAGGCCCTGCAGCACTGACTCACCTCCTCTGCTTTGCCGCCGTCTGAAAGGCCTGCACCACCACACAGCTTGTGTAGGATTCGATGTACCTGACGGCAGAACAGGGCACCTGCAGGCCGGCCCCTGTCTTCCAGGATCCCCACCCCCCTGCGTGGCTGCAGCCCTGAGGGCCTAGCAGTGGCCTGGCTCTGGGCACAGGCCACCCCGGGCCCCAGCAATTCTAACTCACAAACACCTCAGGCTGGGGTATCCGAGCCTGCGCGGGACCAGTGCCTGCGCCACGAAGGCCAGCCTGTGCGCCTGCCCGCCGAGCCCCACCCGGGCTCAGCAACCCGGTGCCCAGCCCTGACCCGGTCAGCCCGGTCACCGTCCTCGCTGTCTTACTCCACGTGGACCTGCAGGACGCGGTCCGCCTCGCGCAGCAGCAGCAGGGACTCCAGCTTGACGGCCTCCGGGTGGCGCAGCCGCTCCCGCAGCGAGCGCAGGCTCCGCTCCGTCACCTCCCACAGCCGCTGGGCGCACCCGTGCAGCTGCTGCAGGAGCCGCAGGCCCTCTCTGCCCCGGGCGTCCGAGGGCTCTGGGGGCACACCCCACGGTGAGGGGGCAGGGAGCTCCCAGAGGGCCGCGGCACCCACAGCCCTGGGGCTGCGGCCGGGCCCCGCATCCCCGGGCACCGGGGCCAGGACGGGGAGCCCACACGCCCCGTGAGCTCAGCAGGGGGTCAGCAGGCTCATCTTGAGGCATGACCACCAGGGCTTCCTCACCAAACAGGACCGCTCTGCTGACCAGGGGCTCCGGGCACACTAACAGCCTTGGTCTCCGCAGGGACTGCAGGCCACGGACAGCGCCCCCACCAGGAAGGCACCCGCCCAGGCCACTCCGTGAGACCCACACTGGAGGAACACCTGCTTCCCGTCCCGCCTGGGGGACCACGACATGAGGGTCCGACCTGCGCCCCGGAAGAGGAGGGACGGCATCTACGGGCACAGCTGGGTCTGAACGAGGATGGGGCTCCCGGCCTGGCCCCTCGGGGCCCTCTGAGGAGCAGCCAGCCGCTGGGGGCCAGGCCCCAGGCCCCTCAGAAGCTCAGAGGCCCAACCAGGAGAGATCCTGCCCCAGGCCTGCGCTGTGTCCCCACCTCCCCCTGCGAGCGGACCCACCGGCCGTGAGCAGGGGCTGGAGGACGAGGCTGCTGATCCGGGCGAGGGTGGCGGTGAAGACCTCCTCCTGCTGCAGCAGGGCCGCCTCCTCGGGGCTGCACATGCCGTGCCGGGCGCGGGCCTGCCGGCGGACACCGGGTAGAGCAGGACGGCGCTGGCCACGCCAGCCCCTGGGCGGGCACCAGCGGCCCTCAGCCACGTGGGCCACGTGTGCGGGCCGCGGTTCACCCTGACGACGGCAGCTGTTGGCTGTCATGGTGCCAGGAGGCTCTGCCCTCCAGGCCGGGACTTGCAGTGGCCATGAGAGGACTGTCCCTCCTCAGCCCGGGGCCTGAACCTGTCCAAACTGCAGCCGAGCTCCCCAGGTGAGGGTAAGGTGGGGGGAGCCAGACACCCCAGACACCCCACCCGGCTCACCCTGCTGATGGCTCCTCCTGAGGACAGGTGGGCTCCAGCCTTCGGACGTCCCGCCCTGCAGTAAGGAGCCCTCCGACCAGGTAGGCTCAGCTGGGAAGGTGGCCTCCTGCCTGAGGGAGGGGCAGGAAGGGGTGTGGGCCCAAACCCAGCCCCAGAGCCAGGCCACAGCCTCCCCGTGGACTCAGCCCTCTCACCAGCCTTGGTAACTCACCTGGCAAAGGAGGGCATATGCCAACTCTGCCTCTCCCTCGCGCTGCCACCTAGCTGACCTGGGGGGAAGGGGGCAAGAGGCGTGATGGAGGCAGCTGGTGATGGCCGGCCGACCCCAGGGGAAAGGAGTCTCATCCCTCCCCAGGGAGCCCACAACCCCAGGACATCGGTTCTGGGGAAAGCAGGGCGGGTGCCTCAGAGCCGTGGCCCAGGGCCCAGGCATTCCTGCCCCACCTTTCCTGCCACTGCTTCAGGAGGGCGAGGCCTCGGGAGGGGAGGCAGGAAGGGGAAGCAGCTGGAGCACGCTCTCTCTCCCCCTCTCTGTCTCTCAGCCCTGCAAGCCCAAGACCCCCTCCCCCGGGGGAGGGGCAAGTTGTTCCAAGTCAGCTCAGGCAGGACCGGAGCCAGCCATGGGGTCTGGGGTGCAACCTCCAGAAACGGCAGGAATGGAAAGGCCCTTTGTGGGCGGCCATTGCCCCTCAGCTGGCAGGCAGCTGGGGTCTGAGCTGAGAGGACAGTGGCTAACGGTGGAGGAAGGAGGGTGCGACCAGGACGGGAGGTGGGAACTGGGTGAGCGGGGACCTGCAGTAAACAACTCGCCAGCCACAGGGAGGTCTTGATGACCAATTACCCCCACTCATCCGGGCTGCCCCACCCACACCAACGCCACCCTCAGGAGGCGAGCTCTCTGCCCCTCACTCTGCAGCTCTATTCCCAGACCTGAGCGATGGCCCAGACCCCACCTGCCCAGGCCCCCCTGGCGTCTCCACAGCCTTGCTCCTCTCTGCGCCTCAGTCACCTCCTCCGTGAAATGGGCTCAAACCAGAGCAGAGCTTTCCAAACATTTACTCCCCAGGAGGATAAGCAGCTGGGAGGGAGTGGCTCTGGGTTTGGGGACCTGGTCCTCAGCCTCCCTCACCTCTCAGAGCTGCCTGTGGCCCCAAAGGGACCTCTAGCCCTGGGAAACTGAGTCACACTGCCGTAAGCCCGGCTGGCGAGGCTGCAGGAGAGGCTGGGGTCCGGGCTGGTGGCCCCCGGTTAAGGAGTGCTGGGCTTCATCCTGGGGGTGTGGAGGGGAGTGTAAGGGCAGGGGTGAGGCCAGGCGTGAGTGCGTATGAGTGAGTGGAATGTCTGCAGGGGAGGAGGTGGTGCTAAGCTTGAACAAGCCAGGGACCCAGCAGGCGTCCTCCCTCTCTGACCCAACCCGCTCTCTCTGGTCCAGGGCCTGGCCCTCTCTCTCCAGCCAAGTGTGAGGCTCCCTCGTGGGGGGCTGCACACGGTGTGCATGTGGGGAAACAGGCCCAGAAAGGAGCAGGAGCGCCCAGACACCCTGTATGAAGGGCGCACACGGAGTCAGACCCAGGCGCCCTGAGCTCCGTGTTCCGAGAAGCTGGGCGACTCACCTGAGGACGCCGGCCAGTTCCGGTGGGCGGCCTCCTGCCTCCCCTGCAGCCTCAGGGCTCACAGGGGAGGAGTGCTGGGCACGGCCGGTCCAGGCATGCCCAGGTGACTCAGCTGCCTGTCCCCGTGTCAGTCTACCCAGCAGCCAGACCTGCTCCCTCCCTGCATTCCTGGCCTGGTCCCTGCGGGTCCCTCTGGGGCAGGTCACCGAGGCCTCTCTGGCCCCCGGCCACACCCTGTCATGGCACCCATTGTGGTATGTCCGGGTCTGGAGGCAAGGAAGTGCTGCTGGCTGCAGTTCCCGGCCGCCGGGCCCCTGATGGACCTGCCAGCAGGTGGGCGGACAGCTGGCGGAGGGAGCGGACCTGGGAGGGGGCGCTGACCCTCACAGCGGTCCGCAGTCCCACTCGCCTCGCCCCCGGCATCCCTGCTCTGCCCCCTTCACCCCCGCGGCCCCGCTGCTGGTCCAGAGGCTCCGCTCCAGCCCCAGCCCGGACACACACTGCCCTGCCCGCCCGCCGGGCACACGCAGTCCCGGACTTTCCCAAACATGGGCTCCCGCCACCACCGCCACCCGCCCGCCGGCCCTCCCTGCGGGCACCACCAGGCGGCGCCACCGCCTCCAGGCAGCCCTCGGGCGAGCTGAGGCCCCGGCCACGCCCCGGGCGATGCGGCCCAGGAGGAGGGGAGGGGCTGCTCCGGAGCCAGGCGGTGACCACCCGGCCCAGAGGTCGGGGCAGGGAGGTCGGGGCAGGGGGACACTCGGACACACTCGTGCCGCAGGGACCGAGGGGCCGTAGAGGGACGGCGACCCGTCGGGCGAGGGGCCGCAGAGGCGAAGGTCCCACCTGGAGCGCGGAGAGCGGGACAGGGAGCCCGCACGGCGCCCCTCCACCCGCACTTACCTGTGCGGCGCCGCCGGCGGTGAGCGGAGCCCGGGTTCTGGCCGCGGCCCCACGCCTTCCCGCCCGCCCCGCCCCGCCCCCGAGCCCCGCCCCCGAGCCCCGCCCCCGAGCCCCGCCCCTCCGGCCCGCCCAGAGCCCCGCCCCTCCGCGCCACGCTCCGCCCCCATAGCCCCGCCCCTCCGCGCCCGCCCCGCCCCGAGCCCCGCCCCTGAGTCCCGCCCCTCCGCGCCACGCTCCGCCCCCAGAGCCCAGTTCTTCCGCGTCCCATCCCATCCCGCCCCTCCGCCCGAGCCCCGCCCTTCAGCGCCTCACCACGCCCCTCTGTGCCACGGCCACGCCCCCGGTGTGACCACGTGGGGAGCGAGGGTTGGCCTGAAGGCCGCCGGAGGTCTCTCCTGAGGCCAGACCCCTCTGGTGTCCTTAGGGTCCAAAGGCTCCTGGGAGCCAAAGAGGGGGAGGGAGAAGGAGGGGTGAACTTGACCCTTCAACTCCACCCCAAACTCACTCAAGCCCGGCTCACCTCGCTTCCCGAGCAAGGGCTGAGGAGAGCCAGCAGGGACCATGGCTTCCTCGGCCTGGCAGGGCCTTCCCAGCCCCCAGCCCCTCGCCCATTCTGATGTTCTGCGGGCCTAGGGTGCAGCCCGTGACCTCCTGGACCCCCTTTGGGCGGGGCGGATCGGCCAGCGCCACTCTAGCCTGTGACCTTGGCAAGTCCCCCTCCCCCCACTCCTGGGTCTCCACGCCAAGCGCGTTTGTCTGCGCCAGGGCCTTTGACCTTGGGAAGGGTGGCGTAAGCCTAGTCCCGAGGACCTCCCGGAGGGGAAGGGACCAAGGTTCCCGCCTGAACAAAGGAACCCACTGTCTGACGCGGTGCCCCTGGGAGCGGCCGCAGGCCAGTGCCCCATCACTTGCTGCAGCGTCCAGGGGTGACCCTGGGCCACCTCTGCCTCTCACTGCCCAGACCACTTGGGCAAAAGGGCGTGTCCGGAGGCAGCGCAAGTGCCAAGTGGCCACCAGCCCCCGCTCAAGTCTGCGGCTGTGGTGGGCCCATCCCCTCCTGCCAGACTGAAGAGAGAGCCTGGTGGAGGGGTGCGTGGTCAGTCCCGGGGGTTCTAGCAGATGAGCCAGGTCTTGGAGGGTCTGAGGGTCCCCTGACACATGAGAGTGGGCGGGCAAGTGGGTCTTTGGGGCTTGGGGGAGGGGCTAAGAGCTGGAGAGGGTCCGTGTGGAGAGAGCAAGGCCACCCAGGACCATGTGAGTCACCATTTGCAACCAATGGGGAAGGCAGGTCCCTGAGGAGGAGGCACTGGTCTCTGCTGGTGTCTCTGTGGCAGCCCTCCCCTCTCAGGGCCTCAGTTTCCTCAGCTGCACCTGTAGCCGAGGGAAGCCGTGCTGCCTGGGCTCGGACAGGAAGGGAAGGGCCCCTCAGCTTCCCCTCCTCCCTGCGTCCAGACTTCCTGTCGGACCACACCTCAGGGCACTGGAGACGGGGTCAGTCTTCCCTCACTCCCCCTCACGGGGTGACCTCATGGGCATTGCCAACCTCGGTTTCACTATCTGCCAGAGTGAGCCAGACTGGCCCGGCCCCTCCCAGCTTCTCCTGGGCGTGGGCCCAGGGTTGGCCGAGCCCAAGAGAGCCAGAGGGCAGCCTCTGCTGGCCCACCTCCCTCGGCACCTGCAGCACAGCCAAGGGCCCTGTCCGACCCCAACCACCCACACCCCTGCACACGCATAGAGGCCACGTAATGCAGTGGCATGTACTCACCTGTGCCACACAGACTCATCCACTGCAGAGCTCGCTGGCAGCCCTGCACATAGGCGTATGTGTACACGTTCACACAGACCCAGGTGTATAGGCTGTGGCCTGTGCACACCGGGACCCACACCCAGGCACATACAGAGGCACGTGCAAAGTGCACGCGCACTCTTGTGTACGCAGATGCTGTGGACAGAGCTCGTGCCTACGCACACATAGGTGTCACCCACCCGACACAGCCCCAGAGCTATTCTGAGCCAGGCCCGGGGCCAGCACGGTCAGACTGCCAGCTCCCAGCAGGACCAGCCGTTCGTCCCAGGCCTCGGCTGCTCAGCCCAGGCTACGTTCCAGGTGCCCCAGATTCAGGCTGATTCCGACTTGGGGGATCCCTGCTTCCTACCTCCCGTTCCCCCAGAGCTCAATCTGGAGCCCTGGGGGCTGGGGCTCAGGAGAGAGCCCCTCGCCGTGTCCTCTGGCCACTGTGAATGGCCTCTGCTCATGGCTTCCAACCCAGCGGCGCTGGAAGCTGGACTGGGTTCCTACAGGAAACCCACAGGAGCTAAAAATAGTGCACAAGGGACAAATGGAGCTCTGCAGGCCAGCATGCAAGCCACGTACGGAGAGGAAGCTGCCTGCCAGGGAGGCCGGGCGGGGGAGCCAGGGAGGCCCAAGCTCCACCCCTCCCCCCAGATCTGATGGGCCCCACGGGGGGCAGGGGTCTGGGGAAGGGAAATGTCGTAAGAACTAGAAACTGTGCCGGTCAGTGGGCAGAAGCCCGAGTTTGAGGCTCCTGTTCCTGAGTGTCCTTAAAGCACAACCCCACTCTGGGCCTCAGTTTTACATCAGAAAATCGGGGAGAGGAATAACAAGACGGATAGGGTGTTAGCTTTGAGGACATGCCCCTCACCCTGGTGTTTGCTATAGGACATAGGTGTTGAACAGTATCACCGGTATTTTGGGTGTCTATGCAGCGCCTTGAGCAACACCAGCGCCAACATCAGAAGGACTGGCACTTCCTGTGATGTGTGGGTCCTGGTACTGCCGTCGTACCCATTTCACAGAGGGTGAGCTGGAGCGCAGAGCAGTGGCCCACAGAGGGCTGCAGTGGAGCCCTGAAGCCTGGCCAAAGCAGGCCTGGGAGGATGGGTGGCCAGCCCCCAGGCTTGGCCACCGCTGCTGAGGGCCCCTCAGGAGGCCTGGGCCAGCCGTCCCGGCCCTCGGCTCTCCTGGTTTCCTACAGCCGGCCACCTCCCAGGCCTGACTCTGGGTGTCTGAGGCTGGCCCTCCACTCTGCTGCAGCCTGCCTTGGTCCTTGCTCAGTATAGCACCTTCCGGCGGAGTCCCTAGGCTCTGGGTCTATAGGGTCCCGGTTCTGAGGGTGGGCCTGAGGCCCACAGCACCCCTGCCTGGCAGGTCTCCCCTGGTGATGAGAGACGCAGGGTCAGCCTGAGTGCAGCTCCACACTCAGAGGCAGGAGATGTGTGATAATGGAACAAAGGGAGAGAGGAGGGAGGAGGGAGGAGGGAGGAGGGAGGGGGAGAGAAGAGGGATGAGAGAGAGGAAGGAGGATGGAGGAGGGAGGAGGGAGGAGGGGAGAGGGGGAAGGAGAAGGAGAAGAGGGGGGAGGGAGGAGGGAGGGAGGAGGAGGGAAGAGGGGAGAGGGGGGAGGGAGGAGGGAGGAAGGAGAAGGGAGGAGGAGGAGAGAGGGGGAGGGGAGGGGAGGGAGGAGGGGGAGGAGGAAGAGGGAGAGGGAGAGGGAGAAGGGAGGAGGGAGGAGGGGGCAGGGAGGGAGGACACACACCAGAAGGCTCCCCACCCAGGCTGCCCCTCCTTCCCCTCCCCAGGTATCCAAGCCCTCACAGCCTCCCTCCCCCTCTTTTCCTCCAGCCCTGGGCTGTCAGGGCTCCCCCTGGGCAGGACCAGGGTGAGAGGTGGGCTGGGGTCAGTGTGAGGTCGGGGCCAGGGCTCAGGTGTGACAGGGGCTGAGGGTCAGCCCTCAGGGCCGCAGATGCTGGCTCCTTCAGGAACCTTCCATGGCACCCGCAGCAGCGGCTCCCACCATTCTACCTCGCCCTTCCCCCACGGCCCCGGTGTCCAGGGTGACCAGAGCCGCCTCCGGGCAGGGAGCCAGCCCAAGGCATCCCTGAGCGCCCGTCGCCACGGCAACCTGCCTGTGGGCGCAGGCACCTGGGTCCGGCGCAGCTGTCCACATCCAGGACGTGACCAGGGAAAGGGCCTCCCACTGGGCAGATGGGAAACTGAGGCCCAGTGGGGAGGCAGGGCAGGACCTGACGTGGGTCCAGGTGGGGGGGGTCTGGTCCTCGGAGGGGCGGGCCTTCACGCGCTCAAGAGCGGCCACAGCCCAGCAACCGGACACCAGCGATGAATAAGTGATGCCCGCCTGCGGCCGGATCGCCTCCCCCTGCCAGCTGCCTGGGCGCCGCTGGCTGGGCGTCGCTCTGCTCGGACCTGCCGGCCGCCGGGATGGCCAGGCGGGGGGGCGCGGGGCCCCTCTGGGCGCTGAGCGGCGCGGCCCTGGGGGTCTGCCTCGCCGGGGTCGCTGGGCAGCTAGTGGAAGTGAGTCTGACGCGGAGGGGGGCCTCGGGGGGCCTCAGGGGGGCTGGGGGGGCCGGCCCGGCCAGGCGGGTGGGTGCCTTTCTGGCTGGAGCTGCTTTCCCGTGGGGGGCCTGGCTTCATGGGGACCAGCCGGGCCCCAGGCTTCCAGGCGGGGAGACAGCCCTAATCCGGGCCCTGGTCCCCTGATTTCAGGGGCATTCTGTCCGAGGGGGGAACTCACTTTGACCTGATCTTAGGGATCCAGGTCTGTCCCGTCCGCTGGGGTCCCTCAGCTCCTCTCCCCAGTGTCCGTCTAGAGGGGCCTGGGAGAGGGATGCCCACGAGTCTGATGGGGGCTCTAGTCCCTGGCTTTGTTGGCGGAAACAGCGTCTGCCGCCCACAGTCCTCCCAGGCCCCGGTCCTCCCCAGGCCGACCTCCCTGGGGAAGGAGTGAGGAAATGGCATTCCATGCCAGAGGCTGGGGCAGGCGGTGATGACTGCCTTAGCCCTGGAGTAGGGGTGTCGAACTCAATCAGAGAAGGGGCCAAAATCTAAAATCCAGCCTAAATCGCGGGCCGAATGGTTTACTGAACAGTCATAAACTGCCACTGTGATGGAAACGCAGCAGAGTGCAGTGATGACAGCGCGGTGCGGGCCACATTGCAAGGCCTGGCGGGACGGATTTGGCCAGAGGGCCTTGTGTTTGACACATGTGCCCTGGAGGGAGGGTCTGTCTTGGTCCTTGTGTGTGAGAGGGTTTGTAGAGGGGAATCGTGCTGAGACCCGGTTTGGACAGAAGAGAACACAGTGGAAAGGGGGCGTGTTGTTGGGAGGCCTGGGAGGAGCCGCTGAGACAGCAGGAAGAGGTGAGGAAGATGGCTGGGGGGGGTGGGGGGGGGGTGGTAGCAGCCTGGCTGGAGGGCTGGGCATGCTGGGAGGGGCTCTCTGCAGCCTCCCGGCCCCTCTAACCATTGCTGCTGATCTGGGAAGGGGTACCAAAGGCAACCAGACCCAGAATTCTGCAGCAATGGGTGCAGAGAGAGCAGGGGACATCCGGGAAGCCCTGGAGTGGCAGGTGCTAGGGACAGGATGGGAGAGGGTGGGCAGGCCTGTGCTGGGGTCAGAGGGCACAGCCGGCTGTGAAGGGTCTGGGGACATGGGTGGGGCCAGAGCCTTGCCGCCCAATGCTAGCCGTCCCTGCTGCTGGCCAGGGTGTGGTCAGAGCGCGGGGCTGGAGTTAGATGTCAGCTCCTGTGTCCCTGTAAGGGGAGCCAGGCTGGCTTGAGCTGGGGCTTGGGCACCTCTGCTGCCCTGAGGCCTCAGATGCAGAAACTGAGCTGCCCTGGGGCCGGGAGGCGGGGGCGAATCAGTCTGAGCCAAGGACTCCTCCCGGCCGGAGCAGGGTTCCTCCCAGCTCATTAAGGGAAAGTGCATTTGGAGTCCATCTACCTGCCACTGCAAGGGCCTGGCGGAGCCAGGGATCGGGGAAGCACCGGAGAGATGGGCCAGCCAGGCCCGTGCACCCCCCTCCCAGCCCTCCAGCGTCAGCACACAGGCTGAGGCTCCGATGGGGGTTCAGACCCTGCGGCGCCCCCCACAGGAGACAGCCGATTGCTCCTGTCACCCTCCACCAGGACCCTGCCTCTGCCGGCTCTGCCCTGACACTGCCCACATGTCCTACCACCACACGTGGGTCCTGTACCACTGTGTGCTCCACCCCAGGTGTGCCCCACCCCTCACCCTGACTCCACAGGTCACCCTGGTTAAGAGAAAAGAGCCAGGGAATCGGGTACCAATCCCTCACAAAGACCCTATGGCTTCCCGGGACAGGCTCCCTGGAGGAGGGGGAGGAGGTGGGAGAGGAGGGAGAGGAGGAGGAGGAGGGGGAGAAGGTGGGAGATGAGGGGGAGGGAGGGAGGAGGAAGAGCCTGGCTGGTGGGAGGACCCCGTCCCTGCTTTGGACCCAGGGAAAGGCTGATGGAGGGCGGCCTGCAGGCTGCCTTTCCTCCCAGACCCCCAGGGACTCCTCAGGCCGGTCCTTGTTCATTGGAGGACGTACGGCGCACAGATGGCCAGGCTCCTCCCTCCTGAACACTGAGTCCCATCCACACCCTCAGCCAAGTGTGGGAACAGCGGTCATGTCCCTGTCAGATCAGGGCAGGTCTGCAAGAACCGCCCAGAGCAGGCCTGGCCCACCCAGAGCCCAGAGCAATGCTGTCCCCTTAGAACCCCCAGGGCAGGCCGTGTCCCTGAGGGTCCATTCGGTCCTCCGAGGCGGGGCCACGGTCCCCTCAAGCCTCCAGGGAGCACTGAGCCCACTGGGAAGGGGAGGCCGCTGGCTCTGCCCGGCCTGGCTGACATGCTCCCCATGTGCTTACATGGTTCAGCCTCCAGGTGTCGCTGCCGTACTGTGGACAAAGGTCTGTCCTGTCCGGACCGGCCTTGTCCCAGCCCTGGCATTGAGGTGTGGGGTCCTGGCCAGGCGCAGCCACGGGCTCCACACCTATCCCATCTGGGGGGGTGGGCAGCACGGGAGAGCCAAGTCCCCAGGATAGTACAGACCTCCCCTTGTCTCTGGCCTTCGTCCTGAGTCCCCGTCTGCCTGTGAAGGCCAGGACTGGAGGAGGAGGAGAGACCCACAGGCTATCGGAGGGACTGGAAGCAGTGGGGGCATTTTGCCCTTTGGCCTCGGTCTTCCCAAGCACCAACCACCTTTGCCCTCCACGTCCCGGCTCCATGGTTCTGGGGCTCGGCTCTCGTGTGCTGAATTGGGAACTTCCTGAGGTCTAGGACAGCGAGTTCTAACGGTGACGGGAAGATTTAAAAACATGCAGCACTCGTACGTAGTCAGGGCACTGACCTCGTTCCCTCAGACCCAGGTGGGGGGTCCAGCCCCCAGGCCAGCAGTCACTTGGTCTGGCCCTGCCAAGGCATGAGGGGTGAGTTAATTAAATGCCTGACCCACTGCAGCAGGCTGATTTTTTTTACTTTTATTGAATTTTTCTGCCCCCCCCACCTCCCTCCTGCAGGCTAATTTTTAAGTCGGTGACTTTGTAGGGCCCACGAATGGTGTTTTAAATACCCAATGGCCCTTGGCAGGAAAACGGTTCCCCAGCCCTGCCTTAGATCTTCAAATAAATAAGTGACAGTAGCTGAAACCAGTGTGGCTCAGTGGCTAGAGCATCAGCCTGTGCACTGAAAGGTTCCAGGTTCAATTCCGGTCAGGGGCATGTACCTTGGTTGCAGGCACATCCCCAGTGGGGGAGGTGCAGGAGGCTGCTGGTCGATACTTCTCTCTCACCGATGTTTCTAACTCTCTATGCCTCTCTCTTCCTGTCTGTAAATAATCAGTATAAAACAGAAAGTTAGTTACCCACACGACGATAGCTGTGCAGTGTGAACGCATCAAAAGTAAATATGTAGTTTTGGTCAGATCAGCAGGATTGTTTTCCATTGCCGCGGGCTTTCAGGAATCCGTGTGTGAGCCTGAGACAACGAGGTTGGGAGGCACTGGTCTGGGCAGTGGGTTTGGGCGCTCCTGAAGGGCCTGGCTGGTCCTTGCTGAGACCAGGCCTCTGGGCTGTCCGGCCCGGCTCCCGGCTCACTGCCCTCTCCCCCCGCAGCCCAGCACGGCCCCGCCCAAGCCCAAGCCCCCGCCGCTGACCAAGGAGACTGTGGTGTTCTGGGACATGCGCCTGTGGCACGTGGTGGGCATCTTCTCCCTCTTCGTGCTGTCCATCAGTGAGTACCCCCGCCCCCCGCACCCGCCCGGCTCCACCCAGGGGCTCGGCTCGGGCCAGCAGTTCCCGGCAGTGCCCGCAGGAGGCCTGCTGTGGCTCCAGGCCCCTCCGTCCACGCAGAGTCCCCGTGGAGGGCGGGCAGGCGGTGGTGACCTGAAGCATTCTGCCCGCCAAATGGGGAAGCAGCCACAGGGCAATTAGGGTGATTACAGGGCCTCGGATCCGGGACGGACGTGTCATTTCTCCCCTCGGGCCTCCTGACGCTGTTCCTGCAGTTCAGCCAACTTTCAGGCCCACACCCAGGGGCCCAGCAAGGCCACCCGGCGAGGCCCCGCCCGGAGGCTCCCAGATGCCCAGCAGATGTGTCTCCCCAGCTGCAAGCCCTGCCCTGTCACATTCCACTGCCCTCATGCCTCCACCATCTCAATGAAAAGCAGGAGACATCTTTCCTGGGGGGGAGGGGGTGCTTGACGCAGTAGAAATAGAAATGGGCTGGACATGCTCCTTGGGGGGGGGTCTGGCCTGGAGTTGGGGGAGGGCAGAGACACGCCAGCTTGTGAGGAGGCCGCCATGGCAGTCTGGGGGGTTCCTACAGGCCAAGGGAATGGGGGCACGCTGCAAAGGCACATGGAGGGGAGGGTCCCCGGTGGATGCTGGAGGCCCCCAGGGCGCGGGGGTGGTGTGGGCAGAGGCCTCAGATAACCCTTGGCATCTCCCGGAGCGAGCGCCTGGCCTGGTCGGGTAAAGCGCATGCAGGCTCTGAGGGAGCTGTCCCCGGACAGGGTCCCCCGAGGCAGCGCCTGCTGACAGCATGAGACACACCCAGACGGGGCTCCCACGAGATCGGGACATCTGACTGGCACGTGCTTCTCCTGGCTCCAGAAGTGCCCCCCCCCCCCGTGGGCACCCCACCCCCATTTCTTCACCGCCTGGTGGGGCCCGGATCTGAGCAAGAGGCTGTGTGATTCCTAGCTGAAGCTGGGCACCAGGCAGGCTTCTGGGTGCAGGCCCGCGGCAGACGGGGGTCCAGGAGGGGGGAGTCAAGCCCCATCCTGCCAGGTGGGGGGCTCTGGCCTGCAGGGGCCACAGGGGGCGCAGAGGCAGCTTCGGGCACACAGTGGCCTCTCCCGGGCTCGGCTCGGCCCCACGTGGTAGAGGTGCCAGGCCCAGAGGCACCGGGACACCAACCACACAACCGACACGTGCCCCTCACGCCACTCCGAGAAGAGGGTGAGGACGGCCCACAGGCCGAGCCCCCTGCTCCCCAGTCTGGGTGAACCCCGAGCACAGCTTGCGGGCATCACCCCCAGACCCTGTGGAGAGGGGCTGGGGTGGATGGGTGCCTCCGGGGTCTCCTCTGGCCTGGGCCCTGGACCTCAGTCGAAGGTCCTTTGGAGTGGAGCCAGCGGCCGGGCCAGAGCGAGGGGCGGTGTCTGAGCCCTGCCCGGCCCCACGGCTGCCCTTTGTGCTCCCTGAACCAGCCCCCTGGCCCGGAAGCAGCTCCATCCCTTGCCGAGGCTGGGCCAGCGGACGGAGCAGCCTGGTCCGGAGGAGGGCCTGGGGGCGGGAGACGTGGCGGCCAGTCGGGCTGGGGGAGGGACCGGCCTTGGGCACCGGCAGGCAGGATCTGAGAAGCCCAGGCTCCAGCCCTCCGGGTCCGGAAGGCTGTCACGCAGGCCTACCCCACAGCCCAGGCCGTCCCTTCCTCTGGGGCCTCACGCAGCCCCCAGCGAGCTCCTGGGTGTGACTGCCCCCAGGCCCCACCCATTCATTCAGGAGCCAGTCTTGTCCTCAGCAGCAAGAGCCTTGAGACCCATTCACTCATTTTTTCCTTTCCTCTGCGAGTCTGGGTGAGACGCAATGGGCCGTGACATTTGGCTGAAGCTGCACAGGGCGACTCCAGAGGGTGCTCCCGCCCAGGCCAGGTCGGGTCGGTCTGACCCACCGTCCCAAAACAGGCGGCTTGTCCTGCCCGCCCTCCTGTCCCGGGAGTCTGCCAGGACGTCACGTCTGGCCCAGGACTTATAGCAGGAAGCAGCTCCCCCCTCCCGAGGCTAGGCCCGCGGTGGTCAGACCGTGGGGCCTCAGGAACATAAACTCAGTTCAGCCAGGCCCCGGCCGCCCTGTCGCCGTGCCCCTCACCGGGCAGGCCAGCGCCGTGCCCTGGCCCAGGTGCCTGGGCGCCGCCCCAGCAGGAAACCGGCTCCTGGAATAACTCAGGCTGAGTGACCGCCGTGCGCAGGGCTGGCCGGCGGCTCTCACAGCCAGGAGAGGCCGGGGTGGAGGGGCACTCTGACCCACACGGCCGGGGCTGGGGCCCGGGCCCTCCAGGCAGCCCGCCTGCGGGACTAGTCTATTCAGGACCTCTGGACCAGGAGCTGTGACAGGGCAGGGCCCAATGGAAACCTGAGGCCCCTGAGAACCGCAAGGCAGTGAGAGCGGAGCGCTAGCCCCGGCACCAGCCCTCCCACGAGTGTGTGACCAGTAGCCAGCCCCGTGCGGAGCCTGTAAAATCCAGGCCCGAGAGGGCTTTTGTCCAGACTCGAGCCTCAGCCTGGCCTGTGTGGCTCAGTGGACAGAGCGTGGGCTTTCGGACTGAAGGGCCCCTGGTTGAGTTCCGGTCAATGGCACATGCCTGGGTTGTGGGCTCAATCCCCAGTAGGAAGACTCTCTCTTTCCTCATTGATGTTTCTCTCTCTCTCCCTCTCCCTTCCTCTCTGAGACCAAAGGAAGGAAGGAAAGAAGGAAGGAGAGAGGGAGGGAGAGGAAGGGAGGAGGAAGGAAGGGAGGGAAGGAGGGAGGGAAATAAAAACCTTACTAAAGGTATTTTATTTAATGCCTTACTGCAAGCCTCCCAGCAGTGTCTTAGGTGGGACAGCCCTAGGCGGAGGGAGGCACGCCTGCCTGAGGTGCGGGCACCTTCTTGGTGCCGAGCTCCAGCCCTGGCCACACCCTCGCTGTCCCCTCCAGTTATCACTCTGTGCTGTGTTTTCAACTGCCGTGTGCCGAGGACGCGGAAGGAGATCGAAGCCCGCTACCTGCAGCGGAAGGCGGCCAAGATGTACACTGATAAGCTGGAGACCGTGCCGCCCCTCAATGAGCTCACAGAGGTTCCCGGAGGTGAGCGCCAGACCCTGCCCACCATGCCCCGCCCCCCGCCCCCCCCCGCCCCCCCTGCGGAGCCAGCCAGTGCCTTAGACCTGCCCCAGGGGCTCAGGGAGGGCGCCAGGACACAGAGCTGGCCAGGGTGAGGCGGGTAGAACGAAGAGGGGCTGTGCATGTGGGAGAGGGCTGGAGGGAAGACGGCAGTGAGGGGCTGGGCGTGGGGCTGCGGGTGAGCCGTAGGGCGCTGTCTCACGCCTGGTGTGCGCCCCTTTGCCCCTCAGATGACAAGAAGAAGAAGAAGAAGAAGGACAGCGTGGACACGGTGGCCATCAAGGTAGAGGAGGATGAGAAGAATGAAGCCAAGAAGTGAGAGAGAATCAAGGAGAGCTTCCTGGAGGCGGCAGCCTGGACTCCACGCTCCTCCCTGAGCCTGCCAGGGGCAGGGACCAGACCGCAGGTGTGCTGCCTCCTAGCCTGGGCTCCGCTGCTTCTCCCCTGTCCACGTGGCCACTCAGCAAAGCGGGCCGGGGCCACCGTCCCTCCGCAGATCAGAGCAGCCTGCCCCCCACAGGCGGGTCTCACCCTCTGGCTGGAGCACAGGGAGCTAAGGGAGTGGCACGCTGTGGGGTCACTGGGGAAAGCACGTGAACCAATGGGCCGGGTGGGCAGCCGGGAGCTGGGTGCAGGCGGCTCTCAGGCTGTGCCGGACGGCAGCCCTGGGTGGGGGGTCAGCCCCCACCCATCAGGGGCTCGGGTCCAGCGGGGGCGCGGAGGTGGCCAGAAGCAGAACCCCCAGCCCCGCAGCCGAAGCCCCTGGCAGCAGGATGCACTTGGTTTACACTCAGGGATGGAGAAGAGGCTGCTGGGTCAGCAGCGGCTGGGGCTCAGGGCTGGGCTGCAGGTGTCAGGGGTGCGGGAGGCTGCAGCCGGGCCAGGGGGGAGGGGAGAGGGAATCTCTGAGAAGCCAGCGGGCCCGGCTGTGCCGTGATCCTTCTCCATCGGCCCCAGGGGATCACCGAGGGGCAGCTGGGGTTGAGGCGCCTCTTCTCCCACCCTCAACAACAGGCCCAAAGCACGGCGATGAGAAGGCCCGGGTGAGAGGTGCGGAGGGCTTCTGCAGGGCCGCGCGCACCAGCCGGGCGTCCCGGGGCGTCCCTGGGGCCTGGGGCCTTGGGGCCTAGGCGATCCCAGAGGGTTCTGGCCGGAGCGGGGGGACTGGGGGGGCTGAGATGAATAAATAAAGCTGAGTGCCTTCCACCCCACCTGGAGCGCCGGTGACAGCAGAGCCGGTGAGGTCCCTCCTGGCTCTCCGAGCCTGGACGGAGGTGGCTGGAGGGAGTCAGGTGCCCAAGAGCAGGGGCAGCTGTGGCTTCAACAGGCCTTCGGGGGTCTGAGCCCAGGGCTGGGTGTGCCCTGGCCACTGCCGGGCCATGCCAACGGCAAGGAGAGCCCGGCTCCAACCAAATTAACGGGAGCACACATTCAGCTCCTGGCCCACAGCTGCCTCCCTGCCTCCAATGTCCTCTATCGCTGACCCCGGATCATCGCTGCACACACTCCCCCGCCTTCTGCAGGGTCCACACACCCCCCCCCCACACACACACACACATTGAGGCCGGCCCTGGGCTCTGCCTTTCCATGCCGAGCCCCGCTCCCGCTGTCTTGTTCGGCCGCCTCCCACCGGAGCAGCCAGCGAGCGGGCACCAGGCCCAGGAAGGAGGCTGGTGAGGAAGAGAACTGTTTAATGAGCGCCTGGTCCGGGCCCTGCCTGGGGACAGGAGAGCGGCCTGTCCTGGCCGAGGGTGCAGAGGGGCCCCCGGGGAGGGCGCCCCGGGAGGCCTGCGGTGTCAGCAGGCAGCGAGGAGGCTGAGGGGCAACGCCAGCAACAGCGCCAGGAGCGGGCCGGCCGGGGCGGGCAGCGCCTGCCCGTTGATGCGCGCCCACACCCAGTGCTGGTAGGCCGAGACGCGCAGGTAGATGGGCGGTGCCTCGCTGATGCTGCAGCCGGGCCCCCAGCTCACCATGCCCACCAGGAGCCACGTGCCCTCCGCGGGGCAGGACAGGGGCTCCCCACTGGTCTCCTGGGGGCGGGGGCAGAGATCAGGGCGTTGCCCCGGGGAAAGGGGGCCCGGCTCAGGGACCAGCAGGGGCTTCACACAGATTGTGCCCACACCCCTGAGTGTCCCTGGCCGAGCAGCACCCAGGAGGCCTCCCACAGAGGGTGCTCTCCCCATGCTCTGGAGTCAGTCCTCCATCCCCGCTTACCCACCTCCGTCTCCCCACCCCCCCTCTCCACCTGACCTCCATTTCTTCTCCATCCCATCTCCCTTCCCCATCTTCCTGCTCCATGGCCTCTGCTCATTCCTTCCCTCTCCCCCCTCCCCCTCCACATCCTGGCCTAGGGCTTGGAGGGCAGGGGCAGGGCAGGGCCAGGGCCAGGGCCAGGGGCAGGGGAGGGGCAGGGGAGGGGCAGGGTTAGGGTTAGGGCCAGGGCCAGGGCGAGGGGCAGGGCAGGGGCAGGGACAGAGCAGGGGCAGGAGCAGGGCAGGGACAGAGCAGGGGCAGGGCGAGGGGCAGGGCAGGGGCAGGGGCAGGGACAGAGCAGGGCCAGGGCCAGGGCCAGGGCCAGGGGCAGGGCAGGGGCAGGGCAGGGGTGGGGCAGGGCAGGGGCAGGGCAGGGGTGGGGCCAGGGCCAGGGGCAGGGGCAGGGACAGAGCAGGAGCAGGGCGAGGGGCAGGGCAGGGGCAGGGCAGGGGCGGGGCAGGGGTGGGGCAGGGCAGGGCCAGGGGCAGGGCCAGGGCCAGGGGCAGGGGCAGGGGCAGGGCAGGGGTGGGGCAGGGCAGGGCCAGCGCTCACGTAGCAGAATTGCTTCCGGTCGGTGTCCTGCACACAGACCATCTGGGAGTTGATGATCCGGATCAGGGCGGGGATTCTGGAGAACCGGTGGTAGAAGTCCTCACACTCCTTGCTGCTGAGGACGGTGACCTCCCTCTCCTGGATGGTCCGGGACTGCGGCCAAGAGCCTGCGGATAGGCCTCCTCAGGCGGTGGATTCCCTGCTGCCACCCCCCCCTCGGCTCCTCGCCAGCTCCCAGCCTTCTCCGCCGGCCACACGGCGGGCCAGGGCGGGGTCTCTCCAGGGTCAGCCCACCTGCCGTCCCACCTGCCCTTCCCCAGCTCCCCTGGAGGGGGACCCGGGTAGGGCCCCCAGTCTGGCCTCACGGGACCTGGTTTGCCTCCCCAGAGTCCCACCCGCTGAGTCCATTCCTGCCCTTCCTTCCACCCAAGACCCTCCTCAGAGGTTCCTCCCTGAGCCGGCCAGCGCCCCTCAGCCCCCAGCACGGCCCCCTTCCTCCCCTCGCTGGTCTCGTCCACAGCCTGAGCCTGGGGACTTCTGATCCTCCCCAGCCACTGACAGCCTGTGGCAGGGAAGACAGCAGCCAGGCCCTCCCCTGGGCTGGAGCCGGAGGCTCGGGTGGGGGTGATGGGGGGACGGGGAAAGGCAGGTGCCTGAAGTGGACCCCGGAGGGCCAGGACAGCTTCCTGCTCTGGGCCTTGCTCCCAATGGGATGACAGGGGACTGAGGGCCCTGGGGGGATCCCGAGGGACTCCCAGACTCTGGGGCCGACTACCTCGGGAGCTTTTCCCAGATAAGAGCCGGCTCCTCTCACCTCCATGTTCTGCTTGAAGGCATGGCCCCCCCGGAATCCTGCCAACAGCAGAGCCCGCTCTGCGGCCCTCCTGCCCGTCTGGCCGGAGCTCCTGGGCACCTCTGCCCCCTGCAGCCTGGCGCCAGGCTGCTCCTGCCGAACCCCTCGAGGGGAAGACCACCTTGGGTAGAAGAGCCCGGCAGGGCCCAGCCGGCACGGCTCAGGGGCTGAGCATCGGCCTACGAGCCAGGAGATCAGGGTTCGATTCCTGGTCAGGGCTCGTGCCAGGGTTGCAGGCTCCATCCCCAGCAGGAGGCAGCCGATCCATTATTCTCTCTCCTCATTGGTGTTTCTATCTCCCTCTCCCTCTCCTTTCCTCTCTGAAATCAATAAAAACTTATTTTTAAAAAAGGAGAGAGAGACAGCCCAGCAGGAAGGTGGGAGCAGGGGCTCCCAGGGACCACGCCTCAGAAACATCTGTCCACGGCCGGCCGGCCAGCTGCCTCTCCCACGCCTGCCCGCTCCGGGCGGGACTCACCGTTGGCCCTGGGGCGGCCCCAGCCGGTCACGGTGCAGAGGGAGAAGTCCTGCACCTTGTAGTCCAGGCCGGGCAGGCAGATGGGCCAGACGTACTTGCTGTAGGTGAGTGCTCTCTCGAGCCGCAGGAGGGCGATGTTGTTGGCCTTGCCCACCCAGGACCAGTAGCGCCGGGCCCGGAACCGGCTGTTGAGGATGACCTCGCGCACACCGACGTCCACCGTGGTCGGAGCCCGCTGGTCGATCCAGGGGCTCCCCATCCGCACCGAGTAGGTGACGCCGTCCCTGGGGAAGTACCGGGCGTCTGCGTCAGTGCCAGGCTCCGAGCGGAGACCGCAGCCGCCTGCCGTGGCCGGCCCCGAGCCTCCTCACAGCGGAGGGAGCAGAGCCCAGCCCTGCACAGTGCGGCCGCGTCCTCCTCGGAGGGGAAACCGAGGCTCGGAGAAGCCCAGGGCCCGCTCAGGGCTACACAGCAGGAAAGGGTGGAGGTGGCATGGCCCTCGCTTCCTCTGGAGTCTGTCCCGGCCTGGGCTGCGCCCAGAAAGTGACGGGCCCCGTACTGGGCCCTGGCCTCTCCCCTGGCCTCCTTTCCCAGCATGCCTCTGGAGCCTGTGCGGACCTTAGGCCGGATCACGCGCATCACGCCTCTGCACTGGCCAGCCCTCGTGGCCAGCCCTCGTGGCCAGCACAGGTGTCCCCTTGGCCGCTCCCCCTCACTGGAGCTCGGCTGCCCTCCCTCTGGTCCCCTCACTGACTGGACACCGCGGTGAGCACCGCGTTCTTGTCTGAGGAGCAGCTGGTCCTCTCCCGGCCCGGTGCCCAGGCCGGCCCGCTGCCACGGAGTGTCAAAGCTGCTGGCCCATGAAGGGAGGAGGGAGGCACTGGGCCTGCTCCCTGTGGAAGCGGGACCGGGTTGTGGGGGGCGCTCTGCTCCTGGGAAAGCCGAGCACTGCGCTCCGCCTGCGGGAGCCGCGCTGAGGCTGACCTAGGACGGGGGGCTCTGCCTGGGCAGCAGCCACGATGGGCCAGCAGGTGGAGGACGGGGCCCATGTGGGGCCAGCGCCCTTCCCCCAGCCCACCGGGCCCCGACTCACTGGGTGAGGCAGTGGGCCACGGTCAGCACCCACTGGGCAGCGATGAGGGTGCCTGCACACACGTGTGTGCCGTTGGCCCGCACGCTGGCCATCCATGGCCACCGCCGGGCGACAGCCTCCGGGTCCCTGAGGGTGGGGTCGGGCTCGTGGGAGTTGCCGCAGGCTGAGGAGGGAGGGCCAGGTGAGGGAGGGACCCTCCAGCTGCTCCCAGGGCACCCCCACCCCACCCCCTCTCTCACTCCAGCTCCTGCGGACCCCCATGACTCCTCTCTACCGGCCAGAGAGCAAGATGCTGTTCCCATGGCCGCATCCAGCCGGCTCAGCTCCAGCACCCCTCTCCCCGCCCGTCCAGCCGGTCCCTGGTCCCACAGACCCTCACAGACCCCCTGCTTCCCCCACGCGGACCCTCTCCCTCTCTGGGGACCCTCCTGTGGCTCAGAAAGGCAGGGACCTGACAGGAAATGGCCACTGCACAGACAGGCAGCCGGGAGAGACCGCCACAGGCCATCGCAGGGCCTCTGGGCTGGGCCTGGAGCCAGGCCTCGGGGAGGGGTCTGGGGGAGGGGCCTGGGGAACAGGCCTGGGGGATGGGCCTTGGGGAGGGGCCTGGGGGAGGGGCCTGGGGGAGGGGCCTTGGGGAGGGGCCTGGGGGAGGGGCCTTGGGGAGGGGCCTGGGGGAGGGGCCTGGGGGACTGGCCTGGGGGATGGGCCTTGGGGAGGGGCCTGGGGGAGGGGCCTGGGGGCCGGGCCTGGGGGAGGGGCCTGGGGGACTGGCCTTGGGGATGGGCCTTGGGGAGGGGCCTGGGGGACGGGCCTGGGGGATGGGCCTTGGGGAGGGGCCTGGGGGCCTGGCCTGGGGGACGGGCCTGGGGAACAGGCCTCGGGACTAGCCTGGGGGCCGGGCCTGGGGGATGGGCCTTGGGGAGGGGCCTGGGGGCCGGGCCTGGGGGACTGGCCTCGGGACTAGCCTGGGGGACGGGCCTGGGGGACGGGCCTGGGGGAGGGGCCTGGGGGCCGGGCCTGGGGGAGGGGCCTGGGGGAGGGGCCTGGGGGACACGCCTGGGGGACACGCCTGGGGGACACGCCTGGGGGACACGCCTGGGGGACACGCCTGGGGGCCGGACCTCGGGGAGAGGGTGGTGTGGGGAAGGGTTGGGTTGGGGTGGGGTGGGGTGGGGTGGGGTGGGTGGGGTGGGCTGTGTGGACTGGGGTGAGTTAAGTCCGCTACACCGAGCCCCAGGATAGCGTGCTTCCAGGTGGGGGTCTCAGGGGCATGGCTGGAAGGCTCCTGCGCAAGACCAGGCGTGCCCACTGCCCAGACACCCTCCTTCTCCTCCTCCCCCTCCTCTACCTCCTCTTCCTCCTCCTCCTCTCCCTCCCCCTCCTCCTCCTCCGTCCTTTCCGCCCTCATCTGAGGCCCTGGAGGCCTTCCCACCCAGTCCCTCCTCCACCCCTCTCCCACTCCTCTCCCCCCCCCTCCCAGCCCGCGTGCTCACTTAGCGGTGCAGCCGTGATGACCGGGGTAGTCGGGTTCTGCACGGTGGTGGGGCCCGTGGGGGGCGGGCCCGTGGGGGGGGAGCCCGTGATGGGGGGGCACGTGTTGGTGAGGCCCGTGGTGGTGGTGGGGCCTGTGGGGGGGGGGCCCGTGGTGGTGAGGCCCGTGGTGGTGAGGCCCGTGGTGGTGGGGGCGCCCGTGGTGGTGAGGCCCGTGGTGGTGAGGCCTGTGGTGGTGGGGGGGCCCGTGCGGGGGGGGCCCGTGGTGGTGGGAGCGCCCGTGGTGGGGGGGCCCGTGATGTGGGGGCCCGTGGTGGGGGGGCCCGTGGTGGTGGTGGGGTTCTGCTGGGGGACTTGCCGGGGCGGACGAGGCCCCCCTGAGGGGCAGGTGGCGCAGGAGGCACCAGGGTCAGGGCGGGCAGCGCCCCAGCAGCCTGTGGAGGGAGGCGGAGGTCAGAGGTGGAGAGGGGCCCTGGAGGGGGACGGGGGGAGGGGGGGAGGATGGGGATGGGGATGGGGATGGGGAGGGCAGGGGAGGGCAGGGGGTGGGGAGGGCAGGATGGGATGGGGCAGGGGGGCAGGGGGCGGGAGGGGCGCTCACCCGCCGGCGGGAGCAGCGGGAGCAGGAGGCCCAGGAGGCCCAGGAGGCCCAGGAGGCGGGGGCGGACCGGGGCGGGGACGGGAGGCTGGCACCGGCGCTCCATCCTGCCCCGCGGCAACTGCGCGCAACTCCTCCCCCCCGCGCCCCCCAGCGGCCGCCCCCTGCCCCCGGCGCCCCCCAGCGGCCGCCCCCTGCCCCCGGCGCCCCCCAGCGGCCGCCCCCGCCTTCCGGCGCCCCCCAGCGGCCGACCCCTGCCCCCCGGCGCCCCCAGCGGCCGCCCCCTGCCCCCCGGCGCCCCCCAGCGGCCGCCCCCTGCCCCCGGCGCCCCCCAGCGGCCGCCCCCTGCCCCCCCGCGCCCCCCAGCGGCCGCCCCCTGCCCCCGGCGCCCCCCAGCGGCCGCCCCCTGCCCCCGGCGCCCCCCAGCGGCCGCCCCCGCCTTCCGGCGCCCCCCAGCGGCCGACCCCGGCCCCCCAGCGGCCTCCTGCTTCCAGCGCCCCCCAGCGGCACCCCCGGCACCCCCAGCGGCCGCAGTGGAGCTCCCGGGTCTCGCTGCCAGGGCGCCCCCTGGTGGCCGGCCTCCCAACTGCCCCACTGGGCACCGGGCCCTCCATGGCCCGTCCCCCCCCCACCCCCCACCCCTTGGCCGGCCGCGTGGGCGCCCCCGCCCCGCCACCTCCTCGGGGAGCAGAGCCCTTCGCGTGTTGGAATTAGGGAACTGTTTTATTTTATTTTATTTTTAATTAAGGCATTACATGCGTCCATAGCTCACTGCTGCCCTCCCACACACACGCCCTCCCCCCAGAGTTCTGCCTCCGTTGGTTGTGTCATAGGCACGCACACAAGCCCCTCTGTTAATCTCTTACCCCCACCGCACCCTGCCTCCCCTGCCATGGACAGTCTGATGCTTGGCTGTCTCTCTCTGTGTCTACCTTTTTGTCCATCGGTTTATAATGTTCCTTATTATCCATACATGAGTGAGGTCATGCGGTGTTTCTCTTTCATTGACTGCTCATTTCACTCAGCATGATGGTCTCCAATTCCATCCAGGTGGCTGCAAATGATGAGAATTCCTTCTTTTTATGGCAGCGTAGTATTCCATTGTGTAGCTGGACCATTGGTTTCTGATCCAATCATCTGCTGATGGGCACCTCGGCTGTTTCCAAATCCCGGCTATTGTAGATTGTGCTGCTATGAACATGGGGGTGCATATATCCTTTCTGATTGGTGTTTCTAGTTTATCAGGATATGGAATTAGGAAACATTTTGATGGCCCCACCACATGGATGGAGAGAACATTGAGAATGCAGTCGGGGGGGCATGAGACACCCCGGCCTCCGGCACAAAAGGCCCAGGGAGCCACGCCAGGACATCCTGACCTCGGCCGGGGCTGCCACCCGGCCCTCGTCTCTGAGGACTCAGCCAGTCACACCCACTACCCTCCCAGGGCCCACCTGAGCCCCTCCAGGGCTGAGGGACCCACTCCCTCCCCACTCGGCGGGACGCTGCCCTGGGTCCAGAGCCCGATGGGTCCCCGAGGCAGCTCAGTGTGCACCCCCCACCCAGTCACCCAGCAGCGTGCCCTGCCCTCCCTGCCCCCGCACCCACCCCTGCAGGGAGAGAGAAGTGGTCAGATGTGGTAAAACCAGGGGACACTGGGGCTGGGAGAGGCCGCTTCTGGAACCACAGGGCAGGTCTGGGGTTTGTCTTGGGAAGAGACGGACCCTCCCAGGAAGGCCCCAGGGGAACTGTGGTCGAGGCCAGGCCTGGGGGCCTGGGGGCAGGGCCGTCTCGGAGGGCGGGGGGGGGGGCAGGCAGAGGAGATGGGCAGGTGGGGGGTCAGGGGGTAGGGGGGCGGGAGGGCAGGGGGCCGACCAGAGTCTAGAAGAAAGATGACTTCGGTGGGAAAAGTGAAAAAGCATCTTCATTGAACAACTGGAAGCCAGAGGCATGGGGCCCTCCCTCCCCCGGGGCGCCTGCCCCTGTGCCCACGGCCTGCGGGCCCCCCTCTCGGCGGGCAGGCACAGGACAGGGAGAAGCAGCCTGGCTCCAGCTCGGACAAGCCCGGCAGCACTGCTCACAGGAGCCGCAGGGAGCCCAGGGAGACCAGCAGGATGTAGTCGGTGTGCAGGGTCGGGCTCAGGAAGGTGGGCTGTGCCCTGCTCTTGAACTGCACGTCTGCGATCTGCCTCTGGATCCAGTGGGTGAAGTGGGAGGTGCTGGTGTAGATGTTGGGGAAGTGGTGCTGCTTGCAGCTGAAGCTCCAGCTCTCCACCCCCATCTGGATCCACGTCTTGTTCACCTGGCAGACCAGGGAGCTGCCCGAGTTCACCTGCCAGGGCAGAGGGGCGTCAGGGAGGCCCCGGCGAACTCGCCCTCCACAGGCTGCGGCCTCAGCGTGAGCCGGGCCTCGGGCCCCTGAGGACGGGCCTGGCGGGGACCCGCTCAGCACACAGCGGCTCCACACTGGGAATCCGTCAGGGCCTCGCTGTCCTTCCCCTTCAGTCTCCTGCAAACTCCCCTGAGTTGGGGGGCCGCCAAGGGGGTGCCCGGACCTTCCTTCCCGCAGTCCTGCATGCACGGTGAGCTAGTGGAAATGCACCCCGACCCCTCCTCCTTTGTTACAGCAGCATCGGTCAATCCAAAGGTAACTGCTGTTATTCCTCTTGATGGCAGGTTTATGGTCATTTAAAAAATTTTACACTCTTCTATGTCATTGAAAAGTTTTGTAAATTAGGAAAAAAATGGTTCTCTCTATAGATATAAACGATATAAAATGTTTGGTTAATCCTCACATGAGGATATTTTTTCCCATCGATTTTTAGAGAGTGGAAGGGAGCAGAAAAAACTTGATGTGGGAGAGACACATCGATTGGTTGCCTCCCCTATGGGCCCAGGGATTGAGCCCCCAACTGAGGTACATGCCCTTGGCCAGTATCGAACCTGGAACCCTTCAGTCCGCAGGCCGATGCTCTATCCACTGAGCCACACCGGCCAGGGCAATGATACAGATTTCTGAAAAAATAATGCAAACCTCTGACCCACCAGTTCTTTGCAGGATGCAGCCCCTGGAAAATTCTGGAGAGTGTCAATAGGGAAATGAGTGTAAGAATATTTGGAGGAGCAGAATCTGTGATGTGAAAAAAAACAACTGGAAACTGCTTCAATGTAGTAGAAAGGGTAAGCTGTGGCATATTCACCACAGGGAATATCGTGGGCAGAGCTGATTCATGACTCAGCTGCACCTATCACTAAGGCTAAATCTCAACAATGTTGAACAGAAGATGCAAGAGACAGAAGTGTGTCTACAGAAGGAGGCCATTTGTGCAAAACCGGTTCTGCCAGATGCGAGCATGTCCTGGTCGTGTGGAGACACGCTCAGAGGCACCATCCTGTGGCCAGGAGCAGAGTGCGTGCGCCGGGTCTGACGGCCTGGGAAGCGAACCCAGGAAGGCAGGCTTGTCCGAGGTCTCCCAGGGCCACGGGAGAAGGAAGGCCTGACCCCAGAAGTCCCTCCCTGCCCCGGCCACACAGTAGCACCTGACAAGAGTCTGCGCCCCACTCTGAGCTGGTGCACAGCATGTCCTTGCCCATGATCTTCTTCTGGCCCTTCAGGTAGAGGAACTGATACTGCTGGTTGCAGGTCTCACTGTTTATTATCCTGACGGAAACTTCCTGAAGACTGTAGGGGGACTTTGTGGCCACTGGGGGGGAGGGGGGAGAGAGAGAGAGAGAGAGAGAGAGAGAGAGAGAGAGAGAGAGAGAGAGAGAGAGAGAGAGAAAGAAAGAGAGGAAGATTCCGCCTCAGCATCCCTTCAGTAATTTGGCACCACTGTACCTTGGGGCCATATGTGTTCCCTGAAGTGGGGGCAGGGCCATTTCATGGGTGGTAATTTATTTATTTTGTGGGCGGGGTGTGATTTATAAAGGCCCCATCCATTGCCTGACTTTAGAAAACGGAGTAAAAGTCCCCCGAAGGCTTAGAGTGACATCCGGCACTGAACGAGGACAAGGAGATTTCCTCGGGGACCCAGGAGGCTGAGGGGCTGAGCACTGCTCGGCTACGTGGTCAGGTGACAATGCCCGGGAGCCCGGAGTGTGCCACCCCTGGGAGGCGGGCCCCAAAAGGCTCTTGGATGCTAGAACCCCAGTGTGCTGCTAATGGGGCCGTTGGCATCTCAGGGTAACAGCTGCGTGGCTGCCCAATGGTTCCCTGCCACCTGCGGGCAGGGGAGCCCACTGCCGTCCAGGGAGAACTCCCTGCCCTGTTGCCAGGTGATGGCTCTGGTTGGATTTGACCTTGAGGCCTGAGGCCCATGCAGACCAAGTGTCTTCTCCATGAGAGCTCTTTGCTCTCAGCAGAAGTTGGGAGAGTGTGCAGAGCATGGAGATGCTCAGGACATGTTTGCTGACATGGTGACGAGTGAAGGAAAGGAAAGGGAAGGGAAGGGAAGGGAAGGGAAGGGAAGGGAAGGGCCAGGCCCAGGGCGATGTGTTCTAAAGAGGCCATGTTTTGGAAACTGCCCCCTCACCTCTCACGGACGGACGTCCCCACACAATGGCCCAGCATGAGGATCCAACCTCTGGCACGAGCTTGGTGGTCGGGAGGCAGATGGGCTGGACCATGGGGGACCAGAGGATGGGGTCCTTGAGCTTCAGGAGGGCGATGTCATCGGATATGAGGCTCTTGAAATTCTCGTGGATCACCAGCCGAGCGAGTGGGAGCTGGGTGTCGTTTGCCGAGAGGTGCTGGGCTCCCACCATCACTGAGTACTTGCTGGCATCCAGGGACCTGCAGGCCGTGGGGGGAGGCGGTCTCCGCAGGCACCTGTGACCCCAGCACCCGCCCCGGCCCGCCCGGCCCGGACTGACCTCTCCAGACAGTGGGCAGCCGTGAGGACCCACAGGTGGTGGATGACGGAGCCGCTGCAGATGTACATGCCCATGAACAGGATGCTCACCTGCCACGGCCACTTGCCTGCCTCCACCAGCTTCCCCTTCACCATCTTGCAGGACGTGTTGGTCTGACCGCAGCCCCAGAACCAGGGCTCTGAGGAGAGACAGAGAAGGCACCAGCCAGGCCGTGGACACGGTGGCACAGGCAGCCGGCTGTGGAGGCAGGGGAGCCTCGGGCACACGGCAGCGGGCAGGTGACCAAGCTGGGCTGCCCCACGAGAACACACGTGGTCACTTTGGGTGGGCGCCCAGAGCCCTTCTGCCACATGGGACCCCAGATTTTTCACCCCCAAAAAGGCTACTGAAAGCCCGGCTGGTGTGGCTCCATGGCTGAGCGTCAGCCTGTGAACGGGAGGTCACAGTTCGATTCCCGGTCAGGGCACAGGCCCGGTCTCAGGCGCAACCCCAGTGTGAGCGTGCTGGAGGCAGCCAACCGATGTTTCTCTCTCTCTTCCTCTCTCTCTCTGAAAATCAATACAGTAAAAACACATTTATATTTTTTTAAAGAGCCTACTGGGAAACGGGTTTGGATGCTGGCTCCCCAGGTCCCTGAAGCTCTCTGGACCTGGTTTCCGCTGGTGAGGTGGGGATACTGGAAGCTACCTCCCCGAGTGTTGTGACCTCAGCCTCAGATGTGCAGGAGCAGCCATTCACATGATGAGGGGAGGGCGGGGGAGGGCAGGGGCGGGGTAGGGGAGGGAAGGGGGTGCAGGGGAGGGCATGGGAGGGCGGGGGAGGGCAGGGGGGCCTCATCACAGGCCTGGATTGCACCTCCAGACAAGCTCATCTGCCCCACGGACGTTAGCTTGTCCCCAATTTTCATTTATTTATTTGTTTGTTTGTTTTCTATGTTTTATTGTTTGAAGCATTACAAATAGTAGTACATATGTCTCCTTTCCCCCCAGGCCCCCCCCCTACCGCATATGCCTTCACCTGCCCCCCCCCCCATGTTTATATGGATGCATACAAGTCCTTCGGCTGATCTCTTACAGACCCCCCCCCCCCACCTTTCTTGCCTTCCCGCTATAGTTTGACAGTCTTTTACATAGATTCAATTTTTATTTTTATTATTTTTTAAAATATATTTTATTGATTTCAGAGAGGAAAGGAAAGAGAGGAGAGATAGAAATATCAATGATGAGAGGATCATTGATTGGCTGCCTCCTGCACGCCCCCTCCTGGGGATCAAAGCCTGCAACTCATGCCTGTGCCCTGACTGGGAATCGAACCCGGGCCCCTTCAGTCCGCAGGCTGGTGCTCTATCCATCGAGTCAAACCGGCTAGGGCGCCCCCAACTTTCAAGAAGGCTCTTTCCTGGTGTCCATGTCGCCTGCAAACCAGGATGACCTGGACATCAGCTGGGTCCCCAGGGTGGCACACCCTGCAGTCTGGTGAAGGTGCATCCGTGGGGCGTGAGGACAGCCAACAGACACCAGGCAAGCGGACCCCTCTGCCCTCCCCGGCCCCGATGCCGTCCCCAGAGCCCTACCTTCCACAATGAGCGGGTTCGCCATTCGGCCAAAAGACAGCGGAGATGAGAGGCCGCGAAGGTCGCCCCACCCGCACGCCACGGGCATCTGGTGCCCGCTGGTCCCCATCGCGGTATGGGGAGAGGGCACCGCCAACCTGCGGGGTTCTAGAACTCGTGGTTTGTTTACTCAGGGTAGCCGGGGCAGGGGGCACGGGGGCAGCGTCAGGATGCCCGCAGACCGGGAGCCCCTGGGTCTTGGTGAGGCCCCACCCGGCAGGCTGTGACCCCTGACGGATGCCTCCCTCGAGTGGTCTCCCGGGACTGACGGAGCCCGGGCAGTGCTGGCTCAGCTGGGCTCGACGGCCCGCCGTGCCCACCCGCACCCGTGACAGCACCGGGCGCAATGCAGGAGAGCAGACGGGGTGCCCCGCAGCGGCAGCCGCTCCCCGTGTGTGCCAAGCAGGGCTGTCGGGCAGAGCCCCGGCCCAGGCCACACGACTGTCCTCCACGGTCACAGCCATGGACACACAGCAACACGTGAAGCTCATACACATAGTTTCAAGGAAAAGGAGCCGGACACCATAAGGCCCATGTTCTATGAAATTCAAAAGCAGGCAAAACCAACTATTTTTAGGGAAACCTGGTAGAGAAGGAAGGGGAAATGATTATTCCTACCATCGAATTTCTTCTTTGAGCGAATTTCTACTTGGGGTAGGTGAGAGGGAAATACTTTGAGAGGAAACAATCAATAAAAAATAAAAATCCACACAAGGTAATTGAATAAAAATGCATATCCATTATCGCCACCAAGGTGAATACAAACAAACTCTCCAAGTCAAGATTCTTATATTGGATAGAAAAAAACCCAATAACATGCTCATTAAAGACCCACCTAAGACAAAGGGACATGAAGCGGTTGGAGGTAGAATGATGGGCAAAAAAATATTGTCTACACAAGCAAAAATAGAAATGGCAATGCTACTCTCTGACCAGAAAAAGACAGTCATCTTATGTTGGAAAGAGAGAAGAGTTCCAATGACCATACGTCATAAAGTTCTGCTCATCAATAACGTGACATCAAACAAATGATGTAAAAAAAAAAAAAAAAAGCCCGCAGCACTGCCTACGACACCAAACCCTCACTGCAGTGGGAGTCTTTGGGGAATGAACTGCCTATAAAACCAACCACACAGTCGACTGCTGAGGAAACCACAGTAACTTCCCCACGTGCTGAAGTCCCACATTTCTTACTAGGATGCGACGACGCGGGGATTTAATAACAAAAGACTAAGCAATAAGCCAAGACACGTGAAATGTGAAATAATGAAAATAAATGTTCAAATCAAGAAACTATAAAAGGTGCAAAGTAAACGCAAGGAAAATCTGTGAGAAACATGTACAACATATAAAATTATACCCTAATAGATTAGAACAGTAGAATTAGAAATGAACTCCATGATAGGAGCCAGATTGTTGAAAAAGAACAAATCCTAAATAGGACCCTTTTACATCGATAGGATATGTGCCCAGATGTACAGTATGCAACAACACAGCTTTGAAACATAAAGCAAGAGTTATAACTGCAAGAAAGAATAGACAATGTCTTAATTCCTGCGGTAAACCTCTCAGAAGTCAGCAGATTATCTCTCTATAGCCTATCTAATAAAGAGGATATACTAATTGACCGTCACACCCTCACAAAGGTGGTGGCGCCCACAGCCAATAAGGAGGGAATATGCTAATTGACTGCCCTGCCCTCAAAGATGGTGGTGCCCACAGCCACAAGAGGGGGGCACCCAGTCCCCTCAGCTCTGTGTGCCTGCCTCCAGAGTCCCCCATTCCCCTCAGCAGTCCAGCCGCACAGGGCCGGCCCAATGCACAGACAAGCCTTGGATGGCAGCTGCCCGGCCTCCCAGGGCCGCCCGAGGCTCAGGTAACCAGGGCTGGTGGAGGCTTGGGCTGCCAGCAGCGGCAGCAGCAGAGGTGTGATGGGGATGTCTCTTTCCCTGATCGCTGGGTCAACTCCTGCACCTGAGGGCTCCCGGTATGAATTTTCATGTACCGGGCCTCTAGTTTATATTGTAATGCAACTTTTATGTCATTGTGGTTTTAATTTGCATTTCTCTAATGATTAGTGAAATTGAGCTTCTTTTCACATGTCTATTGGCCACCAGTATATACTCTTTGGAGAAGTGTCCTCGTCTGATTTTTAATTGGACTACCTATTTTTTGGTGTTGATTGTATCAGTTCTTTATAAATTTTGGGTATTAACCCCTTATCAGATGTATTATTGGCAAATATCTCCTTCTATTCAGTAGGTTGCCTTTTTTTGTTGATGATGGTTTCCTTTGCTGTGTAAAGACTTTTTAATTTGATGTGGTCCTGTTTTTTTATTTTGTTTCCTTTGCCCTGCACTGTACATCCCACATTGATGTGCCCTTCGTGCAGCTTGTCCCAGATCCTGCATCTCTGATACTTCTCCATATTTATCTGGCGCTTTCTTAACCTCTCCAGGTCTGTGGGATTACTGTTTAATGAATTTCTGGATAGCTGGTTCAAGACGGCATGATTCCACTTTTTCTTCATCTCCAGACATTCTAAAGAATGCTGACTTCTACTTGCAACAACTGTATTCTCTGCTCAGATGGAAAGGCCTCCCACCCGGCTGCTCGAGAGTGGTCCAGCTATTATAGTTTTTTTACTGTAAAGAAAAGTGTGTCCATGAACATGTAATACTTTTGTAATTAGTATGTTAAAATGCCACTTTAAAAACTTCCCAGCAGGCGTGGCTCAGTGGCTGAGCGTCAACCTATGAACTAGGAGGTCATGGTTTGATTCCTGGTCAGGGCACAGGCCCAGGTTGCAGGCTCCATCCCCAGGATGCGGTGTGAAGGAGGGAATTTATCCATAATTCTCTCTCATCATGGATGTTTCTCTCTCTCTCTCTTCCTCTCTGAAATCAATAAAAATATATTGTTTTTAGAAAAGTAAAAGCTGACTGTATGTAGGACCTTCCTATTGTCAGCCTTTGGGGCAGTACTCCCTTACAGCATGCCCACTTCACAGATAAGAAAACTGAGGCCTCAAGCCCTTTCCCTATGCCCCAGCACTAGTGATAAGCAAGAAACATCAGCCCACCTGGTAGAATTAATTCCAGGAGACCCTGCCCTCCCACCTCCCCTACCCCAGCCACCAGGGCCACCCAGGAAAGAGAAGAGAACCAGCTTACATTTTCACAAATTTAATCCCTGCTGCTCTGGCCCCAATCCCAGACCCTCTAGGCCGCACTTTCCCTCTCCTGGTCACCCACCACAACCCTCCCTACGGACTGCCCAGGCAGGACCAGGCTCCCCGGGGCCACTCTGTCCCCACCCTGACTCTGGCTGAATAGGGACAGGTGGCCTGGGTCTAACCTTGGTGTGGCCCCATTCCGGAGGGGGCCGGTCAGGGGCCCACCTGGGGAGGCAGCAGCCAGGACAGGAGGAGGAGCCGGACGGGGGTGCCGGGGCCCGAGGGCGGCCCGCTGCTCATCTGGTTCTTTATCCATTTGCTGTATCTGGTGACGCGCGAGTACACACCCGGGTTCTGCGCTTTGGCACAGGCCTTCTCCCAGGACATCACCCCGGCCAGGATCCACCGGCCCTCCACTTCGCAAGCCAACGGGCCCCCGGGGTCCCCCTGGGCAGAGAGAGAGGCCTGACGGAGGCTCTGGGCCCAGCTGGGACCAGGGGACCTGGGGACCCAGAACGCCCATCTGAGTTCCCCTGGGAAGACCCTTTCGCTCCTCCGGGATCCACTACCCAGGGTCCCGCCGCCGCAGCTCCAGAGTCAGGGACCCTGTCCCAGAATGTTGGGCAGAATCAGAGCCTCAGGGGAAGAGGGATGGGAGCAGTGTGAGGCCAGCATGCCCCTCCCCGGGACCTGCCCCTCCGCCTGGGAGTCCTTCCCCAGACTCACATTGCACAGGTTTTCCCCGAAATTGGTGGCACAGATCATATCCCCCAGGACCAAGGGCGAGATGTGGGGGATGGAGGACTCCTTCCGGTACATCTGGTCGCACCTCTTGTTGCCTATGATGAACACCTTGGCCTCCCGCAGCTCCCGGGTCAGCGTGGAGTTGGCTGCGGCAGATGTAATCCAAGCCACGGGGACACTGAGAGCCAGCTGCACCTCTGTGCCCTAACCCTAACCCTAACCCTAACCTGGCTGTGCCCCAGCCGTGCCCTCTGCCCCCTGAACAGAGCGCACGCCTCCTGCAGGCAGCTCAGGCGGCCCCTCGGCCCAGAGCTCCCACACACCTCTCCGTGGAGCTCACCATCACCGGACAAGCCGGCAGGTGTGGCTCAGGAGTTTACCCTGGACCCTTGAACCGGAGGTCAGGGTTCAATTCCGGGCGTGGGGCGTGCCGGAGGCAGCCGATCGATGATTCTCTTTCATTATTGATGTTTCTGTCTCTCTCCCTCTTCCTTCCTCTCTCTGAAATCAACAAAAAAATATATTTTTAAAATCCTTTTTAATAAAAGACCACCTAACAAGTCTTTCCCTGTCAGCCTGCACCCTCTGCTCAGGGGTGGCTCCCTGGGGGCAGGGCCAAGGCCCGGCGTGTGGCCGATGCTTGAGGTCGTCAAGTGAACAGGTGAGCGAGGGAATCTGTGGCTCCCTGACTCCGAGCCCCCGAGAGGCTGGGCCTGCCTGAGGGCCCACAGCCAGGAGCAGCGGAGCCCACGTGAGAGCAGCCTTAGCCATCGAGGACCAGGGGCCAAAGGCCACGGACATGCGTTCCGAGAGGCTCCGTGAGGGGCCCCGCAGGAGGAGCCGCTGCGGCCTCCGGGGGACGCCCCTCCCCCCGCCACTGCCCACCCCTCCCCCCGCTCACCTGAGTAGCGCAGCTTGGCCCGGCCCCAGCCCGTCACCCAGCACTGCGTCCCCACCTTCAGGTCGAAGGCGGGCTCCGGGAGGCAGATGGGCTGCACGGACTCACTGAAGGCCACGGGGGCCTGCAGCTGGAGCAGGGCCACGTCGCCTGTGGTGAAGGTGCGGCCCCAGAACTTGGGGTGCACGACGATGTCCTTCACCGGGACCGAGACGGCCTTTTGGGGGTCCGGGGGCTGCAGCCGAGCTGTGCCGAGGGTCACGGAGTACTCTTTGGTGCTACAGGAACACAGCCCCCTGTAGGTGCCAGGGTCCCCGGCACCCTGCTCCTCCTCCTCCCAGGACCCCCCCAGGGCCCTGCCCATCCGGCCTGGAGGCCCTTGGGGTCAGAGGTCCGGCTGCCCCCCCTCCCCCCACCGCTCCCGCTGATTGCAGGTGGCCTGGCGCGGTGCTGTGTGCACAGGGGTGAGTCCACACATATGTTTTCATACCGAGTTTCACTTACCTCACGTCTTTGTGGCTGGGGACTCCTATCCCAGCTCAGGCCCTGGCCCCGTGAGGCCCCCTGTCTGGGCACTCCTTCCCACGCCCCCACCCCCCACTCATGTGGCTTCCGAGGAAAGAGGACGCCACACGGGGCCCGTGGCAGCTGGGTCTCCAGCCCAGAGCGAGGCCGCACTCACCCTTGGATGCAGTGGGCGGCGGTCAGCACCCAGCTGTGGCCCACGAGGGCCCCTCCACACACGTGCTCATGGTCCACGCGGAGGCTCGCCTCCCAGGGCCAGTGGCGGCTCGCGTCCACCTCCTGCGGCCACCAGGGCTTGCCACAAGCTTCTGGAACAAGGTGCCAGGAGGCGCAGTGACCACCCGGGGAGCGGAGGATGGTGACCAAGAAGCCCGGGCCTGTGCACTGTCCTGTCTGAGGGGCCTCCGTCTCGGAGGCAGGAGCGGAGGACAGGGCTGCCAGAGCGTGAGCCAGGCAGAAGCCACGGTGACAGATGAGATGCTTGAGATGGCGACAGCACGGGTGTGTGTGTGTGTGCGCGGCAGGGGGCAGTGGGGGAGACACAGAGAATGTATTTTCTGTTGGGTGTGCTGGGTAGAGAACTATCACTGACGGTGAGAGTAAGTTGTTGAAGGATTATACATACACAAAAAAGTTACACAAATTACCTGGCCGGTTTGGCTCAGTGGATAGAGCATCGCCTGCCGACTGAAGGGTCCCAGGTTCAATTCCGGACAAAGGCACGTGCCCAGGTTGCAGGCTCAGTCCCCAGTGGGGGGCGTGCAGAAGGCAGCCAATCAATGATTCTCTCTCGTCACGGATGTTTTTCTCTCTATCTCTCTCCCTCTCCCTTCCTCTCTGAAGTCAATAAAAATACACTTTTTTGAAAGAGTATTTTTACTCTTTACTCTCTTAAAAAAATACACTTTTTTGAAGAGAGTAAAGAGAAGAAATAGGAGTGGAGCATGGATATAAACAGGAATAAATTAATCAAATAATTCAGAATAAATCAGGACTAAAGGGGCCATGAACAGCATACACCAGCCTCCAATTTTGAAGCATCAGGAAAAGGCAGGGAGACCCAGAAGAGCCAGCTCTGGAGGCACTGACACGGGCTCTGGGGGCTCTGGGGGTTCTGCCACGGGCTCTGGGGGCTCTGGGGGCTCTGCCACGGGCTCTGGGGGCTCTGGGGGCTCTGCCACGGGCTCTGGGGGCTCTGCCATGGGCTCTGCCACGGGCTCTGGGGGCTCTGGGGGCTCTGCCACAGGCTCTGCCACGGCTCTGGGGGCTCTGCCACAGGCTCTGCCACGGCTCTGGGGGCTCTGCCACGGGCTCTGGGGGCTCTGACACGGGCTCTGGGGGCTCTGGGGGCTCTGCCACGGGCTCTGCCTCGGACCCGGAGCTCCACGTGCAGAGGAGCCATTAGAACCGGAGGTGTGTGTGTAGAAGGGGGCACCACCTGGTCAGGGAAGCTGAGCCGGAAGCAGAGGCTCGGGTCCCACGGGAACGCTCTCCCTGCGGCCGTCTGTGGTCCCACAGCACAGTCTGCAGTGTGGCCTTCGGAAAGCAGGCCCTGGGCACTAGGTGCCCCTCCTCAGGCCACAGGTGACCCCCCCGAGCTGAGGCTCACCCTACCCACCTGATGCGGTGTCGCCTCCTCTGTCACCTGCAGGAGAAAAGGGACAGAGATGGAGAGAGAGGCCACGACAGGATGAGGACGAGAGGGTGTTTTCGTGGATGCGTCCCTTTATTCGTTCACCAGTATTTCCCAGCTCCCCTCGCTCCCGCCCGAGCCCGAGCTGCAGGACACAGGCGTCAGGCAGGGCCACGCCGCCGTGCCTGCGGGAGGCCGAGGCAGGGAGAGGCCCGAGGCCAGGTGAGCCCCGAAGAGGCCGTGGACAGAGCGCTGGGGCAAGAGGGGTCATTCCAGAGAAGGTGAGCCACGAATGAGACGTGGCCATGACGTTCCTCACAAAGCAAACCGTGGTGCAGGCCTGCGCTCTGGGGCCAAAGGGCAAGGCCTGTGACGGCCAGAACGAGGCCGGGCGCAGGGTCCGGGAGAGGGAGGCAGCGAAGATGGGACGTGGGCCCGGCTCGTCGAAGGCAGCAGAGGGAACCGTAGGAAGGTGGCAAGACTGAGGGCAGCGAGGCCCACAGGAGGCGCTGCAGAAACGGGGCAAGAAATGTGGCGTCTGAGGGCAGACGTGGTGAGCACACACGTGGTGAGCAGAGGGGAGACTTGGGGGCCAGGCCAAGTGCAGGATGACTGCCCTCCCCATCTCTGAATCTACAGACCAGTGGTGCCATCCACGGAGCCAGAGGACCAGTGAGCAAGCCCAGCCTGCAGGGGGCGGGCCTCCCACAGCCTTCTCTGCCGTTCAGGTGGCGGCCGGCAGGCGGGTGCTTGGCCTCCTGGTGCACGCCGCTTGTGCCAGGCCGGCAAGCGCCCCCGCAGCAGGAGGGCCTGCAGTGCCTGAGGGAAGAGCCGGAGCCGGGAGCGGGGGGTGGCCGGAGGGAGGGAGAGCAGCAGGAGGTGCGGAGGCAGAGCCTCTCTGACTCACTCCCCTACAAACCCTTAAAGCTCCTCTTGGGACAAAGGGAGAGGGGAGTGAGAAGCACACACTGGTTACGGAGCTCACAGAGGTGGTGTTACCGCACAGGGACTGCAATGCCGGGTAATCGCCCACCGGCGTGTCCACCGGTGAGGCGTGCAAGCCAGTGAGGTGTGCCAGCCAGTGAGGCGTGCCCCCCGGTGAGGTGTGCCCGCCGGTGAGGTGTGCCCGCCGGTAAGTGTGCCCGCTGGTGAGGTGTGCCCGCCGGTGAGGTGTGCCCGCCGGTGAGGTGTGCCCGCCGGTGAGGTGTGAGCGCCGGTGAGGTGTGCCCGCCGGTGAGGTGTGCCCGCCGGTGAGGTGTGCCCGCCGGTGAGGTGTGCCCGCCGGTGTGGTGTGCCCGCCGGTAAGTGTGCCCGCCGGTGAGGTGTGAGCGCCGGTGCGGTGTGCCCGCCGGTAAGTGTGACCGCTGGTGAGGCTCCAGGTGGAAATTTCTGGGAGGACATGACTGACTGACCACTGCACTGCCCTTGTGACTGTTCGGGAGCCGGATGTAGACTTCGATGGAGAATTGCCATGTTTTAAATTAAAGTTGTGTCGGGCACCCCGAACCACTGTGTGCGCAGGCACCAGTCGTGCCACCCACGTGGGCACTGGGTGGAGAGCCTCACTCCCAGGTATTGCTGCTCCCGACGCACCACCTCCCTCCCTCCCTCCCTCTGGCTCCATAACCCCTTCGTCTGCTTCACCGGGGAGAGGCCCCGGCCTGCGGAGGGCGCTGGCAGGAAAGAGGCCCTGCTGAGGGTGACTGTGGGCTCTTCTGCCACATGGAGACCTGGACTCTGCGGGCCAGACCCCATGCCCCGGTGGGGCCCCGATGGGGGAGGCGAGGGCAAGGCCTGGGATGCTGTCAGCAGTGGCTGGGGTCTCAGCCGGCCCAGCAGGGGAAGAGGCTGGCCCCCAGGAGAAGGGCCCCCGGAATCTCCCAGGGAGGTGGGGTGGGTAGCGGAGGAGAGGTGACTGGGGGTCCGGTCTCCAGGGGGACTTGGGGGGAGGAGGGGGTTGGCGGAGGAGGGGGGCGGGACCTGCCCTCACCCCAGCTCAGTAGCGGCAGCAGCAGGAGGAGGAGGCTCGGGAGGCGGCCCCGGGAGGCGGCCATGAGCCCAGCGGGACCTTCGGGTGAACCGCTGCGAAGGCGCCGTGGCGCGCGGCAGCCTCCAGCTCATTACCCGCCAGGTCCCCGCGCCAGCCCGCCTGCCGCCCCCCGCCCCCCGCCCCCCGCCCCCCTGCACCCCGCCCATCGCACCCCCCGCATCCCCGCCCCCCGACCCTGGCCCACCCGCTCCCCGCTCCCCGCCCCCCGCCCCCCCCTGGCCCCCCAACCCAACCCCGCCCCCCCGCCTCCCCGCCCCCCCGCCCCCCATCCCCTGACACACCGCCCCCCCCACCCCCTGCACCTCGCACCTCGCCCCGTGACCCCAGGCCCCCCGACCCCCCGCACCCCGCCTCCCCGCTCCCCGCCCCCCCTGCTCCCTGACCCCTGACCCCCTGACCCCCGACCCTCTCGCTCCCTGAACCCTGTCACCCCCGCTCCTCGCCCCCAACGCCCCCCCGCGCCGCCCGCTCCCCGCCCCAACCCCTTGACCCCCATCACCCCCACCCCCACCTGCACCCTCCACACCCCCCGCCCCCCCCCCCCGCACTCCCCCGCCCCCACTGCCCCTGACCCCCCCCCTCGTACAAGGAGGCCCACCCCACATCAGCGCCCCCAAGAGCCTTAAATTGGCGAGGGTGCCCCCAGAGCCTGGCTGGTGCAGCACCCCTGACCCCCAGACCAGGGAGGGCTCATGGGAGACTCCTGTCCATCCCGAGAGCCGGGGGAGCTGTGAGCAGCGCAGAACATTCGGGTCCGGCTGGGACCCGGGAAGATTCTTAGAGAAAGTGGCCTCGGAGCCAACCGGGTGCTCTCAGAGACGAAGGCCTGGCGGCCATGGCGTCTGGAAGGACGCTGTCCTGGAACTGACTGGGGAGGCTGGGAGAAGACCTCCCAGATTTGTGTCTCTCTTGTCCAGGTGGGGGCCCCGCATGGGGCCACAGCTAGGGTGCAGGTGGGCTCCTACCGTAGGCGGCAGAGGTGGCCCGTGGGAGCATGGTCCCCAGGGCGGCAGCAGCATCACTCGGCAACTGGCTGGACAGGCCCATTCTCAGGCCCGGGCGTGGAGGGAGCCAGCCGCAGGGAATGCTGATGCGGGGAAGGCGTGAGCCTCGGCTGAGCAGAGCCATCAGAGGAGAAAGGCGATGCTGATTTTACTAAACAAATGTGTATGCCATTGATTGGAGGCATCTTTTAACAAAATTAATGTCTTTCAGGTTCTATTAAAAGTAACAGCATGTCCTCAGCATATAAATACCAGCTAGTGGGTGCCGGCTGGCGCGGCTCAATTGAGCATCAACCTATGAACCTGGAGGTCACGGTTCGATTCCCAGTCAGGGCGCATGCCCGGGTTGTGAGCTTGATCCCCAGGAAGGGGCATGAAAGAGGCAGCCAATCAGTGATTCTCTCTCCTCTCCCTTCCACTCTGAAACCAATAAATATATGTATATATGTTCAAATGTCAGCTAGTGGGAAACCAGCTGTTCCCACATCAGCAATAATCCAGAGAGCATTCATATTCTGCATCATAAAACTGATTAGAAACTTTATGTTTTCATGAATCAGAAACAGAATGCTAAAAATTTGTAATTCAAAGCATTCTCAGATACTACTGTTTAAAAAAAGCAGAATACTGAAATCAATGTTAAAATTAATGAATAGTTTCTTAAATATGAAAACTGAATGGCCTGAGTAAAGTAAGACTACCTTATGAGACAAAAAGCTTAAATCTCATCATTTATACTCATCATCAGTATGTAAAGCATGTACATCTACTTCAATACATTAGCCCACAGAGTCCAGGGAGCTTCAGAACACACAAGACATTCTCCAAACATTTATTCCACTGACATCAGAATCTCGGCACTCCTTCCTGTCTCAGCACAACGTGGGGTGAGCCTGGATGTGGCCACCGGGCACTGCGGGAGGGGGTTCCAAGACCAGGTTGACCCAGGAGGCTTACGTGCCAGAGGCTGGCCACTCACGGTGGATCCACATGGGGTGCAGGGACCTTCTCCCCACCCCACCACCGAGTCCTGTGGAAATCACAGCACAGCAGGGACAGGTGGCACCTCGCTCACTCTCTGGACAATCACCACGCCGAGGGTATGACAGTGTCAGGCAAGGCCTGAAACCACTGGGTCTGATGGTGTCCAGCGCTGATGGCGTCTCTTCCTCGGTGAACCTCCAAGACGTCCATGCACGTCCATGCGGCACCTCTCCCCTGGGCAGGCCAGCTGGCCCCGAGCTGGATGGTCTCAGCCTCCCTCTCAGCAGGTGCAGGCGGGCTGGGGCCAGGGACCGGAGCACAGCGGGGACACTTTCGGGAACTCCAGTCTCACTTCTGCTCTCTGCTGTGCGGCTCCACAGGGTCGGGGGGTCCCAACAGGAAGGTGAGGGGAGGACGCTGAGGAGAGGGAGGTGGGAGGAGAGGCCTGGAGGGAGACTCAGAGACAGGAGGGAACAGCCTGGGGTCACAAGGTCACCAGGACACCCAGGGGCAGAACCAGGCACAGGGGCAGGGCAGACAGGCCTGCGGAGTCGTGCGAGGAAGCCAGGTTCATCTGCTCAATGACCCAGTCCTTGTGGACACTGACTTCTGTGTAAACTCCAGGGTATTTGCCACTGCAGTCGATGGTCCAGCTCGTAATCCCCACCTGGACCCAGGTGTTATTAAACTCACAGACCAGGGGGCTCCCAGAATCTCCCTGGAGAGAGAGAGAGAGAAACAAATGGAGCAACAAAGACCAACATCAGAGCCGCTGGCTGCCCGCAAGGCACTGGACACACATGGGCACCCCCAGGCCTAGGTTTCTGAGAAAGAGATTTAAAAGCTGGAGATTTGTATACTTTCTCAAAAAACTGTGCCCAGAAAATACTGACTATAAACAGACCATGTACACACTCTGAGACAGCAATAATGACTGAAGCCCTTACCGAATGCATTGCCTGTCACACAGAAGGGGCTCACAACATGTGACCCATCTTACTGGTGTGTCCTGCCTGCACCAACCCCCCTCCCTGCTCCCCTGCAGGCAGCATCCTCTCCTCTTTGCTGAAAGGCTGGATCAGGGTCAGACCAGCCTGGCAGAGTCCCTGCAGCGTGTCCGTGGAATCCCCTTCGTTCGGACGGAGAGGGAATGGGGGTAGGGGACAGGCAGGTCCCAGGCCTGTGATGACAGACCCCAGGGGCAGCCCAGGGCAGAGGTGGCAAAGGCTGTGGACTGACCTTGCAGACGGCCTTCTGGAGTTCGCTGGAAGCACAGACATACCCTTTCCTGACCTTTGGGTTCAACCAGGTGTCCGAGGTCTTCTTGATGATCTCGTTACACTTCTCATGGCGGATGATCTTTAGCTCGGCCTCCTGCAGCAACTCGCGGTCTGCCTCTGAATCTGGAAAGACAGTGTCGGATGAGGGGGTCTGCTCAGGGGCACCCACTCTGGCTCCCCACGGGGCCGCACACAGCATCCTCCTAGGGCAGCAGCTCTTGTCCCCACTGGACATTGGAGGAAAGGAGACCCAAGGTGGACATGGGGAGAGGAGGAGGTAAGCATCAAAACCAAGACAAGAGAAGGAAGAACCGATCAGGACCGGAGGAGGCAAGACCTTGCCAGCCTGAGAGATTGAACCAAGCACCTGTCACTCTGAGTGCCCTCCGCCATGGCGACAGGTGTCCTAGACATCAGCGTTTCTTTCCCTTGGAGCAGAGCCTCAGCCTGTCGTCAGAAAGTGTCCCTCAGGCACCAAACCCAGCCTCCCAGGGCAGGAGGCCCCGCAGTGTCCGAGAGGCACTCTCGACGGCCGCTTCTCACAGAAAACTCCCCAAGCACCAAGGCAGGCACTTCCAGTTAGACAGCTCCGATTAGCAGACAACACCCACCTTGCTTGTCACCCAACGTCCTGGCCCGTGAACACAAATGTGCGACGCCATCAAACTGCCCCAGCAGCAGCGTCTCCCCCCGCCCTCACCCTCTCGCTGGAGAGCTAACTGCCTCCCTGGCCTCCCCCGGCCTGAAAGGGCCTCACAGGCTCACCTTTTTCCTTCACTTTGCCCCATCCCGCCACCCAGCAGTCCGTGCCAGTTTGCACCATGAACGTCTTTTCAGGGAAGCACACGGGCTGGATGTGGGCGGAGTATTTCACGGGGACCTGGAGCAGAATCAGGGCAATGTCGTTGAGGAGTCCGATAAAGCTGAAATCTTGGTGAATGACGATGTCACGAATCGGGACTTCGATGGCGTTCTTGGAGGTCACGTTCACGTGTATGCCTCCCACCTTCAGGATATAATCCTTGTAGCTGCAGAGAGATCCTGGGTGTTCTGTGACCCCTTCCAGGTGGTCTAGGTCTTCCCAGCCCAGTCCTATCTCAAACGCCGGCCACCAGCCACTTCCCTCCCTGGGCCCCTGGCCCCTGGCCCCTCCACCCTGGGGTTCTCAGAGTCTGGTCCTCGGAGCAGCAGCATCCACATCCCTGGCAAGGTGTCCAAAAGGCAAAGACCCTATCTGGTTGCTGAATCAAATTTCTGGGCTTGGGGACAGGCCATCTGTATTGAACAGGCTCCGCAGGTCTCTCTGGGCTCATTAAAGCCTGAGACCAAATGGGTCTACCACACCCCCCCTAAGAGCCCCCCAAAGTCTTTGCCCACACACTGCCCCCCACTGGCGTCTCCCCGCTTCTTGCCACGCAGTGAAGGCTAACCAGCCCTGGCTTCAAAGCAGCGGCTTTGAACCAGGTTTTGGATCTGGACTGTTCAGGCTCCCAAGGGCCCTACCACCACCTGCCTCTGCCCACAGCCGGGAAAGCTCAGGGAGGGACCGGCCAGGGGCTGCCCGGAGCCTGGAGCACTCACCCGAAGATGCAGTGGGCGGCGGTCAGGACCCAGCGGTTGGCGATGAGGGAACCCCCGCACAGGTGATGGCCTTTTATCTGCAGGCTCACCTGCCAGGGCCACCGCCCCTCCGCAGCCGGCCGGCCGCCCACGATCCTCATGGTCTGGTGGCCGCAGCCTGGAGCTGTGAGGGGGGAGCACCGAGAGGGTCACGCCCCGGCACCCCACACCGGCCCGGGATCCCCGGGAATCTCAGGGCCCAGAGCTGGGAAGGTCATGCCCCCGGGCCCCCCAGCACCGGCCGGCCCTGCAGCATCACCTGAAGGCAGGTGCTGCGTCACGCCGCCTCCCGCTGGGGGCGGTGCGGGCGGTGTGGGCAATGCGGGTGGTGCGGGCGCTGCTGTAGATGCGGGCGCTGGGGTCCGTGCGGGCGGTGGGGTCGGTGTGGGCGCTGCGGGCGGTGGGGTCGGTGTGGGCGCTGCAGGCGGTGCGGGCGCTGCTGTGGTTGCGGGCGCTGCGGGCGGTGCGGGCGCTGCTGTGGTTGCGGGCGCTGCGGTCGGTGCAGGCGGTGGTGTCGTTGCAGGCGCTGCGGTCGGTGCAGGTGATGGAGGTGGTGGGGTCGTTGCGGGCGCTGCGGGTGGTGCGGGCGCTGCTGTCGTTGCGGGCGGTGAGGTCGGTGTGGGCGCCGCGGTCGGTGCGGTTGGAGCGGGCGGGGTCTGGAGGGCCATCACCGTTGGGTGGGCACCAGAGCCCCCCGGGATAGACGCCGCCAAAGGGGGGGACCCGGGGGCCTCGGAGGGCCCCTGAGCCCACACAGCTGGCAACTCCCGAGGGCTCGCCCCCGGGTCCCGGCGGCCGCCCCCCGCGGGGGGGGATGAGGGTGCCCGCAGCGCCGCCCCTCCCCAGCGGCCCTCCCCGCCCGCCCGGGCCTCGGGGAGCCGGGGCTGCGGCAGCAGGAGCAGGACCAGGAGGCCCAGGGCGCGGGTGCCAAGGCCCGGTAACGGCATGGGCCCGCTGGTAGCCCTCCGCCGGCGCCCGCTCAGCGGCTGCGGCCCGGCCTGCCCGGGTGGTGGCGGAACCAGGGTCACGCTGCGTGCGTGCTTGCGTAGGTGTGTGCGTGTGCGCGTGCATATGTGCGTGCGTTGCGTATGTGCGTGCGTGGGGTCACCTGGGGGTCAGAGCCTGTTCACGCAGCTGCGCTCCCAGCCGGGCTGCTGGGACCAGGCCTTCCTTTCTCCTTGTTTCCTTCCGCGGCGCCACGTGCAGCGCTGAGGCCGGAAGCAGCCCCAGTGCCCATCGGGGTGGGGGAACCCCCAGGCGGAATGCCCATGGAGTGGGGAAGCCCCCTACGGCGGAATGCTCCGCTGCTGCGAAAAAGGAAGGCCTCATTCCATTGGCAACAGCGTGGGTGGCCGGAGAGCATTATGCTGAGAGAGTCGGTGGGAGAAAGGTGAGTGTCCCATGATCACTCATTGGTGGAATCTAATGACCAACATAAACTGACGAACAAAATAGATCCAGAGACAGAGGAGCTGGAGGAGACCGCCAACCTCAGAGGAAAGGTGGGAGGGGACGGGGGAGTAAGAGATCTGCCCAAGGTCGTGCATGCGTGTGGGCAGGACTCCTGGGGGGTGGGGGCAGGGACACTGGGGGCAAAAGGAGACCTATCTAATACTTTAAACAATAAAGAATAAAATAAAGTAAAGTGGAACCGACTTAACCTCCTAGCAGCAGTGGGGAAAAACAACAACAAAACCTTCAACTCCTTAACATAAAGGTTGCACTTAACATTACTAGGCACTACGTTAGAGATAACAGTGCTGCTTAAAAAAAAATCAACCCCCATGTGAAAAGAGCCATTAGCAAAATGCAAATTAAAACTCCATTGAGATTTCACTGCACACCTAACAGACTGGCTGAAGTTAAAAATAGCCAGCAGGTATGGCCCAGTGGTTGTGTCAACCTATGAACCAGGAGGCCATAGTTCAGTTCCCCTCAGGCTGCAGGCTCGATCCCCTGTAGGGGGCATGCAGGAGGCAGCAAGTCAGACATTCTCTCTCATCATTGATGTTTTGAGATATATATATATATATATATATATATATATATATATATATATATATATATAAAAAAGCATAAGATGCAAATTGACCATACCTTTGCAATGCCCACCAGCCAATCAGGAGTGAGTATGCAAATTAACCCAACAAAGATGGAGGGTTAATTTGCGTACACAGTCACCATGTGGCTGGGGGTAGGGTGGGATGCTTGCCTCTGGGCAGTGTGGAAAGGCAGAAAGGCGGCTCCAGGTCGGAGCGAAGGTGGTGCCAGCAGCCAGGGGAAGAAAGGCCCATTCTTTCACAAATCTTGGTTCATCGGGGTGTGTGTGTGTGTGTGTGTGTGAGTGTGTGTGTGTATAACACCCAATACTGACAGGGATGCAGATATTGAATCATTCATACATTGTGCCAGGAATGTAAAATATTCCTGTAAACCTCTCTGGAAAACAGATTGGCAGTTTCTTAAAAAATAAAATATGCAATTACCACATGACCTAGTAATTGCGCTCCTGGGCATTTATCCCAGAGAAATAAGATTTATGTTCACACACATACACACACACAAAAATAACTGTTCAAATGTTTATGGTAGCTAAACCATAACATATTAGTCCCCCCATATCCACGGGTTCACCCTCTGTGGTTTCAGTTACCCATGGCCAGTTGTGGCCCAGAAATGTTGAATGGAAAAATCCCAGAAACAAACAATTCACACGTTTTAAATGTCCCTCCATCCTGAGTAGCAGGGTGAAATATCACGCTGCCTGCAAAGTATGGGAATCACCCCCTTGCCCACGTCTCCACGCTCTCCACGCACCACCCACCCGCTAGTCACTCACGCCATCTCCGTGGTCAGGTTGACTGCCTCAGTATCGCGGTGCTGTGTCCAAGTCACCTCAATTTCCTGACTCCTGGCCCCAAAGCTCAAGAAGGATGATGCTGGCAATTTGGATGCGCCAAAGAGAAGGTGAATACAGTGCAGGATATTCTCTAACATTATATTGTTATACTTGTTCTCTTTGTATTACTGGTTGTTGTTGTTTGTCTCTTGCTGCGCCTAATTTATAAATTAAACTTTACCATAGATGTATACGTATAGGAAAAAACAGCACAATTTAGCCTTGAACAACATGGGACTTAGGGATTTCCCCTTTGCAGTTGGAAGTCCACCTATAACTTACCTACCAATAGCCTACTGTGGTGGCTAACCTTGCTGATCACAGAAACAGTTGATTAACATGGATTTTGTATATTATAGGTATTATGTAATGTATTCATACAATAAAATAAACTAGAGGGAAGAGAACGTTTTAAAGACAATCAGAAGGAAGAGAAAATAAATTTTCAGGACTGTGTATATTTATTGAAAACAATCTGTGTATCGGTGGACCTGTGCAGTTTGAAGCCGTGTTTCAGGGGCCAGCTGTATGTACAGGGTTCGCTACTATTGCTGTTTCACGCATCTCCTGGGGTCCTGAAGTGTATTCCTCACAGACAACAGGCCCTACTGTGGCCAACATCTGGAAAAGCCCTGGAGGAGACAGAAGAATGGCCTCCCAAAGGTGTCCACATTCTAGTCCTGGAACCTGTGAGCATATTGCCTAACTGGCCAAAGGCATGTGACAAAATAAGTCCTCTGGGTCACACGCACATGAATGGCCACGGTGCTTTGTAGTTCTCCCCATCCAGAGCTGAGGGTAGGCCCTGGCCAGTGTGGCTCAGTGATTGAGCATCAGTCTATTATATGAACCAGGAGGTCATGGTTTGATTCCCAGGTTGCGGGCTCCATCCCCAGTGTGGGGCATGCAGGAGGCAGCCAATCAGTGATTCTCGCTCTTCATGGATGTTTCTCTCTCTCCCTGTCTCTTCGCACTGCATGACACCGGGCAGGCTGTGCGGGAGGCTTTCCCCAGGCTCCCACCAGCCCAGGGTTCTGTGCATATGAGAACTGGAAAGTTAATAGGAAAACTCTAATGTCATCCAAGGATATTATAACTGGTCGCTTCCCAAACCACAGTGGTTGTTAAATATTGGGAATATCACCTCTGATGGTAGCCCCCAGATCCTTTCATTTGCCTAGAGTTTCTCCCGAGGTCCTAACCCTTAGAGCCAGCGCCCTCCACGGGGTAAGCTCCACTCCCGGACACCCCGACACCCCCACGTCACACACAACTCTTCCTGTCCTTTCCAAGCTGCTGTGGCGGCCCCACCACTGGCCAGCTCAGCCAGAAACACTCGGCCTCCCCTCACCCTCTCAGGCAGGCAGTCAGCACTTCATCGCAAAGCGCGCCTCCTTCTCCTGCCTCACTGCCCTGCAGGCCTGCCTGGCCGGGACCTAGAACCGTGGCACAGCGATCCTAACGCCAACCCCCTCCTCTGCCATAGCTGACCCCTCATTGCCCCAGACTGCAATAGGTTCTTCAAACATGATAAGTCCCCCCAAACCTCTGAGCCATTGTACGTGCTGTTCCCTCTCCCTAGAACTAGCTGTTCTCTTTCCGAGAGCTCCAAACACCTGTCCTGCAATACCGGCTCAAATGCCCTTCCTCAGGGGGGCAGCCTGGTGCAGAGGGCAGACTCTGACCCAGAGGTCCTGCAGGGATTCCCGGGAGCACTTGAACTAGTATCCTCGATCCTCACCACACCTGTAAAAGGTCTGATGTCTACGCTGGAGGGTTGTGATGTGTTTAACAGCTCATGTGGGTGCCAGGTGTGAACAACTCGAAGGAACTTGTATTGTCAGCATTACCCTGGAGTGCGCCCAGGTGCCTATGACCCCCACCCCCTGACTGCAGGGCTCCAGCCTCTCTGGTTCCTGCCGCGGGGAGGAATGGATGGATGAATGAATGAATGAGTGAATGAATCAATTGTGGTGAGTAGAGAATGGGCTATGCCCTCAGTGCTTAGAGCATTGCCCGGCACAGGCCGTGCTCAATTGGGATTCGGCTGTTACTGTTCCTTCAGGAGGGACCTCAGCATCTGGGAAGTGCAGGCTCCAGGCGAACAAACAAAACCTTCCAGTCCAGAGTGTCCACCGCCGGCCGCCAGGAAGCCCAGCCAGACCGGCCCTCCCTCCGTGCGCCCCCCGACCCCCCGTCGCCCCTGGAAATCACTGTCCGGCCGCGTGCTCCCCTCGCTGCTCCTCGCGCCCAGCAGCCCAGCCCGCGAGAAGGAAGCCACAGCGGGCCTGGGCCTGGGCCTGGGCGGGCAGACCAGGGGCGGGCACAGCGGGCGGACGGACGGACGGGCAGGTCCGGAGGCGCCGCAGCTGAGCGGCAGGGACGCCGGCCCTTGCGCTCCGCGCTCCGCGAGGCGGGCGGCGGGGCTCTCGGGGGCCGCCCGGCCCCGGGCCCGCCGGCCTCCGGTGAGGTCAGCCCTGGCCGCGACTTCGGGGAAATACCAGCTCCTGATTGGAAGCAGCCGGGGCCCGGCCCCTGCCCTCCCGGGAGAACCGGGCGTTTGTTCCGAGAGGACAGAGCGGGGCCTGGCCGGGCCGCCGGCGCCAGGCTGCGCTGCAGCACCTGGCCGTGGGTGCGGGCGCCGGGGAGACCAGGCCGGGGCGGCGCGGGGAGGGAGATGGTGGGAGACGGGGCCCGCCGTCCCGGCCAGCGCAGCCCGCGGGGCCGCCACCAGCGCGGGGAGTGAGCCACAGGGAGGCGCGGCCCGTGGCCTGGAAGCCGCGCGCCGGGCGGGAGGGGGCTTCCGGAGGGCCTGGGCGGGGCTTACTAACTGGGCGGGGCTTGCGGCGAGGCCCCACCCCTTCCCGGCGGCTTGGCCCAGGCCCCGCCCCGAGCTGCCCGCCGCCGCCTGCAGGGGGCGCCCGAGAGCCGGCAGCCCGGGCTGCGGCCGCGCATCTGGAGCGCGTTAGGGGCGGAGGGCGGCCTGCGGCGGCGGCGGCGTGAGCTCATCCCGGCCGCCCCTGAGGCTTCGTGAGGACCGAGCACGGAAGCGCCTCCCCCGGGTGGGTGTGACGGGCGGCCGCCCGGAGCGCGCTGAGCTGGGAGCCGCGCCGCCCGCGTCGCCCAGTCCCGGTGGGTCCTGGCTGGAGGGTGTGCGTGTCCCCACGGGGAACGTGCGTGTGATGATTGCACACATCCCAGCACACTCATTTCACAGGAAAGAAGGCACGTGCAGGGAGGGAGAGGCTGGGCTGGGGCTCCTGACCCGGAGCCTGGTCTCCACGTGTGTTCCTCAGGGCCCCAACACTGCCCGCCGCCCACCCCCTGCACAAACCTAGCTCCCTGGTCCCACCCCCATTCCTCAGGGCGTGGGCACCCCTCCTGTAGAAGGGAAGAAGAGCGGCCAGGTGGCTCAGTGGTTGAGCATCTGCCTATGGACCAGGAAGTTATGTTTGGTTCCTGGGTTTGGGGCTCAGTCCCCATGGTGGGGCATGCTGATCCATGGTGCACTCTCGCTGATGTTTCTATCTCTCTCCCTCTCCTTTCCTCGCTCTAAAATCAACAAAAAATATTTTAAAAAAGAAAGAAGGGACCCCTTCACACCCGGGTCATGGCTAACACACACAGACCACATAGGAAGACAGACAGACTCACACCTGGGGACACACACCGATAGACGTGTGAGGGGACACTCCTCTTAGTGCCTCGGAGTCAGGAGCGGGTGATGGCAGGGCTGGGAGAGGCTCCTTGGGGAGATGCCTGCACCCCTGCCAGAGGCGGGCACCGGAGGGGCTGTACCCCACCTCCTCGAGGCTCTGGCTCCTGCAGGGGGCCCTGTGGGTGCTGCCCAGGGTATGAAGGGCCTCAGAGGCCCCAGGACTCCCAGGGCCAGGAGCCAGAGTTGGGACATGGCACTGTGGGCACCGCCAGACATGGAACCCAGGGTGGGAGGTAGGGGGGTGGGGGAGAGCTGTGGCTGGAGCAGGGACCTCTGAGCACCCAGGGCTCCCCCACCCATCGCGCTAGTCCTCCCTTCAGACCCTCACCTCTGCAGCACGGCTCCGGCCGCCCTCGGGGGCCTCGGGGAGGCGGCCCTGGCCCCTCAGAACCCCCGGCCTTTCTGACATGCCCACCCTCCTCACCCACAGCTGCTGGGCTGAGACACAGCCGCCTGCAGCGGGGGCTTGTGAGGGCCTCGCCCTTCCTGACCAGGATACTCCCAGGGCCCAGCGCCCGCGGGGGCAGAGCTGGGCTTGCTAGGAACCGAGGCCTCACGTCCCCACGGCATACCAACGGGGGAGACGGAGAGGCCCGCGGGCCCTGGCAGCTCCCGGGAGTGCTCCTTCCGAAGGCATGGGCCCTGCCGCCCGCCTGGCCTCCGGGGGCAGCAGCTCCCGCACTGGGGCGGGCTGGGGAGGGGTTTTAACTGGAGTGACTGGTTTGCATAACCAGAGCCTCCAAATTACTTAGCAAAACATGTTTGCTTTTTAATTAACATGTGCTTGGAAAACAATGGTTTTAATTAAAGTGGGTGGAGATAATAGTTCTAGGAGCTGCAAGGCCCAGCCCAGACTTCTTAAAAATAAAGTGGGAGCCCTGCCTCAAGCAGCAGAAGCTGGGGGCCCACCTGTCTCCGCCCCTGCTGGGCCTTTGCCCTTTTGCTGACAGTTTCATCACTCACCCGCCCTCTGTTCCCTGTCCCCTCTGGGGCGGGTGGGCTTTGGGGTAAATTAATGGGAGTCCACCAGGCAGATAAGA